GACGATAAATCAAGATATATCTGATGTTTTCCAAATAAAGCAAGGTTTAACATGCTAAAGGGGATAACTGCCCACAAGGCAAGAAAAAGATAAATACCCTCAGCTTGTTGTGACATAAAGTTGAAAGCTTCGCGTGATAAATGTTCACGCGCAAAAGAACAGCCTTATTGAAATGTATTATCTAGGACACCTATAATATTATAGGAGCACGGGCACTGATGTAGAAACGAAAACACATTACCGTTTAAGTTTACATAAATGAATAGATATGATCGACACATGTTTGTATATTATTTGATTATATTACACGGGATTCAAAAATGTTGGACAAATTATTAACTTAGCGGCCTTCGTTGATTTTGTCCCATCCCTTCCCCATCCTGGTTTTATTTCAATAATAATACACGCACATATGTTGATTTTCCCAATGATTGCAGACTGTGGGAAAATTAATCCGCGTCTGATTAATGTTGAAATAAAATGAGAACTTCTTTGCATAACATGTCATATTATCATCGTATAGTCATGTACTTCGGTCGTACATTTATCTTGGCTAGTTAGATAGACTGATCACTATATATAGCCTGTGCAATTAACTGATCTTATCTGATCTTAACTCTTTCACCCCTGAAAATACATTCGAACTCTTACATTATAAAGGATGGAATAGTTCATTATGAAATTTCAGGGATGACGGATTAAAGTTATTTTACGATTGGGCAGCTTATAATACTTACGTGAAGCTGGTGATGTACTGAGAGTAACCAGGTGTTCCCACCCACATCCACTCCCCCTCAGCCAACAAATCCGACCCGTCCACCCAATAGTTCTCTATTCGGGCAGTCCCTTCAAGGAAAGAGTGTATACATGTTGCGTGGTTTTGATTCAAGACAAGAAGTTACTTGTTTATACATTTTATCTCTAAATTTGAAATTAGAAATTATTTCCCCGTCGAGTGGTTAGGTACAATAGACGTCAAAACTAAACAGAAGACAACATAAACTGCCAAAATTCGATGCTGCTACCACTAGCTTGCTTCTGTTTTGCTTTTCTTTATTTAATTTAGCAGAAAAAACAGTGTTTTTAATTTCTGATTTCTTAAATACATAATAATGGATCCTTGATTGCGACTTATTCCATATTCCTTTTCAATCTTTATGTTGAAATATAGTGTCGACGATCGAAAACATTAAAATTTAGACTAAAGTGTAAAATGTTCATGATCTTGAATTGAGTGTCCTAGGACTTTTATCTTTGGACAGTATTCTTGTTGTCGGGGACTTACGTACCATTGGCAAGAAATAGCGTTTAAAATCAGATATAAATATATTTCGTACTATTTTCTTTCCATTAATAGTTCCCTATGGTTTTACAAATAAGATATTGAGAAGAATGTTTTATATAAGATTTCACAAAGCGTGAAAAGTTCGAAAAAAACACAAAACATTGAAGGTATACCTACTGTTATTATGTACCTCAGTTAACACGAGGAAGGTATTGAGGTATATATACACTTATTTTGTACCTCAGTTTACCTACTGTTATTATATACCACAGGTAACACGGGGAAGGCATTAAGGTATACCTACTGTTATTATATACCTCAGTTAACACAGGGAAGGTATTTATGTATACCTATTGTTATTATGTACCTCAGTTAACACGGGGAAGGTATTAAGGTATATCTACTGTTATTATGTACCTCAGCTAACACGGGGAAGGTATTAAGTTATACCTACTGTTATTATCTACCTCAGTTAACACGGGGAAGGGATTAAGGTATACCTACTGCTATTATGTACCTCAGTTAACACGAGGAAGGTATTGAGGTATATATACACTTATTTTGTACCTCAGTTTACCTACTGTTATTATATACCTCGGTTAACACGGGGAAGGTATTAAGGTATACCTACTGTTATTATATACCACAGTTAACACGGGGAAGGTATTAATGTATACCTACTGTTATTATGTACCTCAGTTAACACGGGGAAGGTATTAAGGTATACCTACTGCTATTATGTACCTCAGTTAACACGGGGAGGGTATTAAGGTATACCTACTGCTATTATGTACCTCAGTTAACACAGGGAAGGTATTAAGGTATACCTACTGTTATTAGGTACCTCAGTTAACACAGGGAAGGCATTAAGGTATACCTGCTGTTATTGTATACCTCAGTTAACACGGGGAGGGTATTAAGGTATACCTACTGCTATTATTTACCTCAGTTAACACGGGGAGGGTATTAAGGTATACCTACTGCTATTATGTACCTCAGTTAACACAGGGAAGGTATTAAGGTATACCTACTGTTATTAGGTACCTCAGTTAACACTGGGAAGGCAGTAAGGTATACCTACTGTTATTATATACCTCAGTTAACACAGGGAAGGCAGTAAGGTATACCTACTGTTATTATGTACCTCAATTAATACAGGGAATGTATTAAGGTATACCTACTTTTATTCGGTACGTCAATTAAAACGGGAAAGGTATTAAGATATACCTACTGTATTATGTACCTCAGTTAACACGAGGAAGGTATTGAGGTATACCTACTGTTATTAGGTACCTCAGTTAACACAGGGAAGGAAGTAAGGTATACCTACTGTTATTAGGTATCTCAGTTAACACAGGGAAGGCAGTAAGGTATACCTACTGTTATTATGTACCTCAGTTAACACGAGGAAGGTATTGAGGTAAACCTACTGTTATTATATACCTCAGTTAACACAGGGAAGGTATTAAGGTATACCCACTGTTATTAGGAGCTCAATTAATGCGGGGAAGGTATTGAGGTACATCTAGTGCTATTATGTACCTCAGTTAACACGGGGAAGGTATTAAGGTATACCTATTGTTATTATGTTCCTCAGTTAACACGGGGAATATATTAAGGTTAATCTACTGTTAACATGTACCTCAGTTAACACGGGAAAGATATTAAGGTATACCTACTGTTAATATGTATTCCATTTAACACTGTTTCCAGCATTGTTTCCTCTTCCTGTGTTTCTATCTTTACTAAGTCTCCACCAAAAACTTGACAGTATTGCTGAAATACAAGTTAATATCTCGATAACCTATTTAATATATAGGACGTATGATATATATAGCTTATTACATCAGACCTATGATTAAATAATTTATTAGATAAGACCTATGACAGCATGTGAGCATTGACAACTGATAAAAAGTACCGCAAGGTATGGTTTCTTTCCAGAAATGATTTATCAAAGCTATAATCATGCCTGAAAACAGTGCCCAATACTTAGTTCCAGTCTTGGCAGAAGTACGAGATCCTTTACTTGAAATATACGGTTTCCCGTTGATACGACAGACGACCAGACATTTAACATGATTGCACCGAGTATATGATATTTCAAACTATATGTACACGTCTTTCCAAGTATACTCTTAGACATAAACTATATGTACACACCTTTCCAAGTATACTCATCGACATGAACTATATGTACACGCCTTTCCAAGTATACTCATCGACATAAAGTATATGTACACGCCTATCCAAGCATACTCATCGACATAAACAATATGTACACGCCTTTCCAAGTATACTCATCGACATAAACTATATGAACATTGTTCTGGAGTTTACGTTTCTGTTCTGTGGTAACTTAAAGTGAACAGTAGAATGAAAGAAATATATCTTACAGTGTCAAAAAAAATGATAAAATCATCTACATTTGGCCAAAATTGATGCAAAATTTGCGATTTCTGCCAAATCATGAATGAAGTAAAGGTTATACATTTGTAGTTATGAAAACCTATTTTTTTTTTATATATTGATAAATATAAATACATTTTCAAATTTAGTAATATATATATATAAAACAAGGACATGGTTATTAGGTTATAACTGATATGTACATACCTTGGCATCGATCCAGGACACAGGTTCAACCATCACTTTATAACAGCTTTCGCCATGCTTTTCAAACTTAATCGGACACCCTCCTCGCGAACCTTCATGGATCAATGTAATTACATTTTTGTAGCTTGAGTTAAGTTTATTTTGTCTCATTTTGTTTAAATTACACTGAGATTTGAGGACTTATAAAGTGGTTTAGTATTCCATTTAGGAATCGCCTAAGATCGTAAATTTAGAATCAAATTTTGATACGTGTGTCTTACAGACGTAGATGTGGCAGAAACAAAATTAAATGACTAAAGCTCTACCGTATTTCTACTTAATAAGGGTAGAAGGATAATTGAAGGGTATATATACATTTTCAAATAGCTTAATAAGAATTCATTGAGGCTTACAGACAAGGTTGTCAACGTGTGCAAAACTATATTATTTGCAGTAAACGACTTGATCAACCTGTCTCACCTTCATCTTTTACAGATGTATTTACTTTATTTAATTTAAACCTAATTTATTTGTGGTAATAAACAAAACATGTTATATTCAATACATCATCAGCAACGACTCGGGAACAAGTGCTCAGTACTTATACCAATCCCGTTTCGTTACTTTATTTTCTACTGATGATATTGCTACTTGTGCAAATGGACATTACATGAAGCTACTTGCTCCAGGACGAATGTATCACATACACCACTATACAATGTCAGGAGTCTTGCATATGGGAGACAGATGGCACTTAAAGCAACGAAATTTCCAGAACACCTGTCCCTTGCTTTTTTAATTTACCCGGAGGTCTCTATATATTCAAATCTCGAGAAGAAGCCGAATGGAATAAAAGCCAAGATATAAGCAATTATATATGTTCATTAACACTAGGCTGTGCCAAATTTCAATCAACAGCGATATATCAGTAGCATATCTCTGCTTTATTGATGTAGCTCGTGCATGTGCTTAAATAAACAGAAATGTTTTCAATTGGTCTTTTGGAAACACAACAACAACAATAAATACATTTAACCGTTAGAGACCTGGGAAATACTGTAAGCCAAATGGAAAGCTCAAGCAAAAAAATGTCCCCTATTAATCCAATTTAATCCCCTACCTTGTAACCCTGCACATAGAACGAAGACGAGGGCAATGATCTTCATGTTGACCGTCTGGTTAGGAAGTGTAAGATCGTACTCGTCCTTATCAATAGTGGTTTCTTATCAGTACTAGATTGTAAGGTCAACACTTCGCTTCTCGAATTGTTTATATAACATATTTACAACCAATCAGAAAACATTAAACCGGTATTGTCCGTATCGCTGAATTACTACTTCCGAAGTAAAACACATTTTAATTTCCGAATCGCATTTTTATACTAATACACTTAATTTTCAAACAAGAAACAATTCAAAATATTTCTTCAGAGCAATTTGTAACGGAATTATTTTATATTATTTTTCAATTCGCTAGTCAATAGCAAATGACGAATCGACGTCATTTCTCCCTTTATATAGACCAGTTATTGGACAGGTTGACCTAAATGACATGCATCCAATTCTTTATCACGCACACAGACAAGCTATATCCTTATCAATCGGTCGACCTTTTAAATTTACACAGAGAAACTAAGTCAATAATGTTGACTCTAGCAGTTCTATTGTCCACCCTTTTCGTTGGTAAATATTCATGTTACTATCACAATTGTTACTATGAGATAATTTTTTGTCGCTTTGTTTGTTGGTAATAAATATTTTATCTTGTTATAATTGTAACTTTTATATTGGTTGTATTGGTCTGGATTTATGTGAGTATTATTGATGCAAATATTAACACGTTTAGTCTGAAAATATGGTTAAGGATGAAAAATTACTATAATTGGACTATATGAACCTTAACCCTCCTGGTTTTATTCTCTTTCTACTTTTTCGTGTTTCCATGTAAATATTTCCTTTGTACATATTTTACCCTTGTTTGATCGATTTTGTGTTCGATGTTTCGTGGACACTTTGGTGTTTTTTGTTATTGTTCAACATTGCGCAAAGAGTTAATTCCTTAATTCTTAGTTGGCTGCAATGGCAATTCCTTGGAGTATTTTAGACGCAGATTCGAATTTTAGTTTTGCAGAAAATAGGTATTAACCGTAGGTATTCTTCGGGAAGGTTTTGGGTTGTTGTTAAATACAGTTCTACAAGGAGTAAAACGCATATCTGGTTATTTTTACGGGGAGGATATTTTTTTAGGTGTTTTTACACTTTATATATCACAAAAGACCAAATTCTGGTCAGTTGTATCAGTGCTCAATACAAAAATCACAAACCTTAGTAAATTCATTTCATGTACACAAATTGAAGCGTGAAGATATTTCAGACAAATGTTTATACACTTCTTTTAAACACATATACTATTGTCTTTAATTGTAAGTTTATATACTTTTGTATAATTAACATGATTGTTACAACTGATGAGTCAGAGGAAATGAAGGGTTTGAGGTTGGGACAGTTAAGTGAATGTTTCTGATGTTAATCTCTGTGTAGGTGCCTTTAGTGTCTGTCCGTACGGGTTAACTCTCCATGGAGGTTCCTGTTACCTGGTGGTAGGACTGAACTCAACATGGATAGAAGCTAAGGTAAGTTTTATTTTTTGTGTATGCAAACCGGAAATACAAAATATGAAAAGTATTGAAAATTATTTTAACGTAGTTATAAATTGTGTAGACGTTTCATTATTATGAAAAGGGAATAAAGAAATGTTTTTTTGTGAACCTTAGGCAGGGAAAAGGTAAATATATGGAAATAATACACAGATATACAATTTTGATATTAGACATCTTTGAAGTATACCATTTTTCATGCATTTACATGTTCATGCATTATGGTAATCACATTTTGAAATGAATATTGTGTTGGAAGCTATAAACAGTTATAATGAATTTTCCTGAATAATATGTCCTAAACAGGTACAACTACACAATAAAATCACCCTTTTTTAGTATCTCTGAACTTATTTTTAGTAATATTTTTAGTATCGATAAATTACGTCGTATTAATGAATACCTATAGTGTCTTGTCAGCCTCAGTAGGCTGGGTGTCAATCAAATATTGTTTGTATATTTTAGATCATGCTTGTATGTATGTATTTTAAGCAAAATTGACATGTGACACTTTCATAAACTAATTGGCATTGTACTGTATCGTTTTATACTACACAATACATTCACATATACTGTATGTTACTAGTAAAATACCTACACGAAACGACAGGTAGAGCTTATAGATTGTTGTATATTATTGTTTTCAGTATTGAGGTTGAGAAAAAAGAAAAAAGTTCTTTTTTCCCGACGAGGAAAGTATTTGCAAAAATTTAAGCATTTAAACCATAAATGAGATACTATAATATCATTCCTGATATGAACTTATATGTATAATTAAGTACGTTCTCGCCGTAGAAATATTGTGGTGTAGTAGGAGGCGACCTAGCTGTGGTCGAGTCCGCGGAAGAGGAGACGTACCGGGTCAACATATTGAAGCAGATTGACACCGCAGGTATGGATAAATAGTGAAACTATGAGCGTTCAGGGTTATTATCAGTGGTCATCGGGACATACAAATAGTAGCCAATACATTGTAATGTTAACTAATAACTTTAAATTCCAGTTGACTACAGGCATTCTAGATAGACAAGTCGATGGTCAAGAGTAAAAAGGTAAATATATTGTTTCTTTTAATTACCATAGGATCGTTCAATTAAATCATAGATAGTCAATAGATTCTAATGAGAATAATCGTCAATTAATTGTAATTTTTCTTCGATTTTTCATTGTTTACGGCCTATATTATCATACGCAGTATAAGGGAGCCAAATCGTACTGTTAAACAACAGGAATGACCATAAAAAGAACTTGTCATTTTCTCAACCATGTTTTGCCTTAATTGTGATTAATTAATTTATACGTTCATCCTGCACGTGTGAATACTGAAGAGTAGTTTCTGATTTCACGGTTTCAATATCTTACATTTATACATATCTTGATAACAGTGTGTTTTCCATAAGGAAGAACTTCAACATGTAAGATAGATTAAAAGTAGATTTTAAAGTAGATTAAAACCAACTTAGGTATTTCAAAATAAAACATGAATGGTTTACAATTTGTTTTCAGGAACCATTTTTCCGGAGAATTACTGGTTAGACGGAACTGAAGTTGTCAAAGAAGGAGAGTTCCGATGGAAGTGAAAAAAATGGAAATTCAATTCCAAGTTCCGACTACACGTATGCTAGATTTAGGAACATGATTTCTGCTTCAGTTTTAGAGCGTTTGCAAATTTACTTTAGGTTATGGTCATTTATTTATTGTTTCCGATTGGTAATGCACAAGAACTTACTTTCACAGATCATGAGCAGTGCATGTACATATGTACGCACTAACGTTGTTTCAGACCCATCTTCAGTGTCAATAATTACACCTGTATTAACCATTACAGACAGGCTATGAAGTTTTAATCATTGCTTCAGACTGGTTATAAATTTGTGTTAACTTTCACAGACATGTAACAGAAAAATTACATATTGTTAAAACTGCATGATTATACATGTGGATTTAATTATATTTATTATCACCGACATGTTAGAAAAACATAATAATTAATTATCTTGTTTTCACATACATTATGAAGAACTTTTATTATTGTTTCAGACTTTACATACAGATATATTTACTATCACAGAGTAAAAAGTGAGTTGTATATCGAGTGGTATTCAGGCTATTTTAGGAGTGGTATACATAGTATACAGAGTATATAAATAGTGGTATGCAGAGTACACAAGCATCATATAATACAGAGTATATAGAAAGTCATATACATAGTATTCAGAGAGTAGTAAACAGAGTGATATAAAGAGTGTTAAACAGAGCATATAGAGTTGTGTACAGAGTTTATAACGAATGAAATATATCTGTACTTCATATATTCTGTATAGTACCTTTATATGCTGTGTATACATAATCCTATCTTTACATTTTCTGTACACTACATTATGTATTTCTTTAATAAGCTATGTATATGAAGTATCTCTCATGACTAGTTTCAGTTATATATCATCTAATTGCTGAAACTTGCTGATAACATACTGCATATAAACTTACACTATTTGATTTACCTCATAAAGCGTCATCAATTATTGGGTATGAGTATCCTCTATATACAACAAAAGGTGTTTGTTTCCTGTTAAATGTTTGAAAAAAATACGGATAGGTATAGATAGGTAATAAATGCAATTTTTCATTTATTTTTATTTAGCCTATACAAAGAAAGGAGAGTGTTCTTGACTTGAACTGTTCCTCCTTTACACAATTGGCAAAAAAGTTTTGGGTAGGCACAAAACAATGTATTGTTGGCCTTTTATATTTTTAGGATGTGGCCACCTTAGGTTTGAGTGGCTGGGCCAATAAGGGGGAATTGGGAAATTTTAACTCATAAAAGACTACTTTCTAGAAGGGCCTGTCACCATATAAATTGTTACAATATACGGTAAAAATGGTTGAGGCAATAAGGTGACCATATTTTGTATCAGTCAAGTTTCTACAACCTAGAAGGGCGTGGCATAAGATGGGCCCAATAAAGAGCAAAATAGACAATTTCATCTTCAAACAAGAGGCCCAGAGGACCTCCATGGTAGGTGCTGTAAGTAGATATGAAATTTCAGAAAGATCCATCCAGTACTTGAGATATAGCGAGAACAAACTTCAAACAGAGCCCCGGCCTTATGCCCCTAGGGGGGTCATACCCACCAATTATACAAAATTAAGTCCCCTTGGCCCAAGGGTGCTACAGACTAAATAAGGATAAAATCCCTTAATCCCGATGGTCGAAGAAGAATTTTAAAGGTTTAACCTCTATTTCCCATATTGAGCCCCGCCTCTCTGCCTCCAGGAGGGTGAGACACACCGTTTATATAAAATTGGTTCCCGTTTACCCAATGATGCTTCATATCAAATTTGGACAAAATCCTGTCATTCCTACGGAAGAGAAGTATTTTGAAGATTATTCCCTATTTCCCTATTGGGCCCCTTCCTTCTGGCCCCAGGGGGGCCACACTCGCTGTTTATACGAAATTGAGTCCCTTTTGCCCAAGGATGCTCCAGACTAAATTAGGATAAAATCCCTTAATCCCGATGGTAGAAGAAGGATTTTAAAGGTTTTACCTCTATTTCCCATATTGAGGCCCGCCTCTCTGCCTCCAGGAGGGTAAGACACACCGTTTATACAAAATTGGTTCCCCTTTACCCAATGATGCTTCATATCAAATATGGACCAAATCCTTTCATTCCTACAGAAGAAAAAGGATTTTAAAGAATAATTTGCCATGTTTTCCTATTGGGCCCCACCCCTCAGGCCCCTAGGGGACTAGACCCACGGTTTATACAAAATTGGTTTCCCTAGGATGCTTCAGACTAAATTTTGTTAAAATCCGCTCAGTGGTTCATGACTAGTAGTGTAAAGTTGACGGACGCCGGACGCTGCGGTATGGCATAAGCTCACCATGGTCCTTCTTTTTGGCCATCAAAACCAATGGTCATTTGAATAATCAAACCAAGCAACTTCACAGACATTTTCTAAGTTCCCGTAGCTCTTCGGAACACCCGAGTTTCGTTCGAAAATTTTATAACTCGGAATTATTCCAGCCCTTTTAGTATATAGTAATGAGTTCTTCCTAATACCAATCTTTTAAAATATATGCATTAATACAATAATTAATATTTAAATATATCAACTAAACTTATTGGATAATATTTTATATTGGTGTTAGTTATACCTGCGGTAGAAAAATACGAAACTGTGCGTGCCAGCTCTTAGACAACTAAAGCATTACTTCCGATGAGGTCCTAAACAGGTTCCTTAGTCACAATAGAACACAGTGTAATATTGTTAACTATACCAGCTCTTAGACTCCCCGCAGTTTGTTTTGCACTCAAAACACTGATTATGTTGTTTATTTCATCTTTATAGTGTTTCATAAAAGACCACCAAGTAATTGGTTTTCTTTCCAGAAATAATTTATTTAGGCTTTAGTCATACCCGAAAAAACAGTCTCGAATACATACAGTTTTGGCAGTGGTACGGAGATCCTTAAACCACCCTGGGATGTACTTGATATTCGAGTGAATTAATGTTAATGAAGTAAAAGACAAGTACACATTTATTATTGTCCTGTATTTATTATCACTGTGTTGTTGACAATATCACTTCAGCCAATAATTGAGTCGGGATCCGCCTCATATCTGTAAAAATAAAATTTATATCGATTACAAATGTTTTAATTGTTCAATATTGATATGTATTTATATTATATCATAATATAAAAATTAAATAATAATAGTAATTAAATATATCAAGAGGAGTCTATGGGTAACTATATATATACAGATGGGGTCCATGGGTAACTATATATATACAGAGTGGTATATGGGTAACTATATATATGGGGCAAAGAAGTAATTCCAACAGTGTGGACAAGTTTAGGTTGTCAAATTTTCGGTAACTATATGTATATAGAGGAGTCTATCAGGTATTAAATATCCTATGGCCTATGTAATATTTATTTATTTTATTTATATAGAAGAGTCTATCAGGTATTAAATATCCTATGGCCTATGTATTAGGTATTTGTTATATTTATATAAAGGAGTCTATGAGGTATTACGTATCATATGGCCTATGTATTAGTTATTTGAATACCCTATATATATCCCTTGTCTATCAGGTTCACAAAAATAAATTTTGCAATGAGTTATAGGTCACGATTTCCGTTCCTGATATTCAGGCTGTTGAAGATATTGGTACGTTTAATGTCTATCATCGTGATCTTATTTCAATATTTGATTTCTAATTTCCTTGTGCCATAGTGAGGCCAATGATTTAACTAATCAGTGTGCCTTGTGCCATAGTGAGGCCAATGATGTTACTAAAAGTGTGCCTTGTGACATAGTGAGGCCAATGATGTTACTTATCAGTGTGCCTTGTGCCATAGTGAGGCCAATGATGTTACTAATCAGTGTGTCTTGTGCCATAGTGAGGCCAATGATGTAGTGGTTTTGTTGTCGCTATCGTGTTCCCGCTCGGATGACTTGATCTAACTTGGATATGACCTACAAGTACACGATAGTGTCGTCGATTAATTATAAGAAGGATATATTGATTTTGAGTTCANTCAAGTACAGGACAGTGTCGTCGATTAATTATAAGAAGGATATATTGATTTTGAGTTCAAATTACGGTTTTGTGAATACTTCAATACTCGCTTCTGTTGTTTTCATGCAAGTCTTAGGTGTTTATTATAATACCGTACGTCTATGATATTTATCAATAATTAACCGTTCAAATCTATGATATTGTTTTCAATAACCTATGTATGTCTAGTATGCTATTTAAATAATTTATTTTTTTGTTGATTTTTATTGCACTAAATTATGTCTTTGCTATTTTTATTATGATAACCACAGTATGTCCCTGATGGTATCAGTTTGAGTAGTACATTTGTCAATAATCTAGCACTGTTAAATATGTATCTTTTTGTGACATTCCTTGTCCTAATATTGTTTTCAACTGCATCTATTAGAATTTAAAGCTTTATATTGACCCAGAGTCGACTGCGGTACACTTACTGTGCGTCGATAAGTATAGCACAATCGATTGTAGGAGTACGACGATAGGGTTATGGGTGCAAGCATCATTTTATTATCTTTAACCGACAATGACCAATCAGAGGTAGAATTTCTGTGAATGTGAAACGAAGCGTAGTCTTTGGGCTAATTAAATCCACGACGCAAGATCCTTCTTTATCTAATGAGCTTCACTAACTTCATTTTCATCAAGAAAGGAGAGAAATATTAATATATGTTTGTTTCAGATATTTACAATTACCACAATATTTACTGAGTTGACAGATATCGATTATGTCCTAATATTGTTATTTTCGTATAAGATGCTGCCCACTGTGGCCAATTTTCATTGGAAAAAAATAGCTACATACATTTAAAGTACGTTTCATAGAAAAATCTTAAATCTATCACCGAGAGTGCTTACGTAACGAAGAAGGACAGTAACACATAAGTGGATTGATTATAAAATCAATTCCTTTGTTATAGGGTGACAATTTGGCAACAGCTTGCAGAGTGCTCAACTGTTATAGATCTGTATAAGTAAAAGATAACAAGTGATACAGTTAAAAGGCGGGCCTTTTCCATCGATGTCGATCCAAATATGATATCTCTATTTTGGTTGACACACGTAGCGATTCAAAACCGGAAAAACTGTGGAGAAATGAATGGGGAGGTTATATTGTTTTTGCTTCTTTTACTTCTAATAGTAGGTGAGTTGCTATATCTCTAAATACCTCGTTTTATTTTTAAATTGAAAGTGAAAACAAAGATCCAAATGGAAACTATTTACTCTTGACAATGAGAGTGCATGATACTTAATCAACTCTGTGTGGGTTATATGGTCCAAATGATGACTCTCCAGATTTTTTTAAAAAAATTTACAAAATAAGATAGAGGGTATTGTAAACGATACTATAACTATTGGAGGGGATTGATATGTCGCTTTAGATTATTATGTTGATACTGTTAGTTAACGTATTAGTAATAATACCAAAGCTAAATATACAATCTATGGCTTGATGCAGGAACTAGATTTAATTGATGTTCGGAGGGAATTGAATGGTGATGTACGAAAGTACACTTGGTTTGGCCCTAATGGTAAAAAAAGTCGCTTAGATTATTTCTTAGTATCATCCGATTTACAACACTACATTCAAAAAGCAGATATGGATATTGTCTACAAATCTGATCATTCACCTGTTAGTATTGATTTAGAATTTATAAAACAAGTACGTGGGCGAGGAACCTGGAAAATTAATAATAATTTGTTAGGTATTTGTATTTTTTCTTACAGTACAGCTTTAAAACTAATATGGATAAAACAAATGTCTGGATGTCAACAATCATTCAGATTGGAAAAAAACTATTAATAGATGATATAGACAACTTTGGAGGAGATAAGATTTGGACCTTAACAAAAACTGGACTATTTGAAGTATCAAAACACAGAAATTTAGGTATCTTTTGGAAGGAAATTTTACAGATATGGGGGTCTCTTACCGAGGACCTCCCCGCTTGCCCTGAGCATATTCTCTCTCAGCACTTATAACTTTAACAAAAGATACAGAATTATTAAACGATGACCCAAATACTCCGTTCTACTCCTGAAGTTTTCCCATTTACTCTTCGTCATGTGGAATACTTACTCCGCCTCGCATATGATGTAATCTAGAGACGTTCATCCTTCATTATGAGGGATATTAATTTGCCTCACTAGATGCACTTACTCTTTGTTCTGGGGATACTATACTCAACCGTACAGATACATGTAAAGCTATATTCAGACATTCCTCGTCATATAAGACAACCACTTCGTTTCACTTAGTCATATGTTCGCCTTCAAGGGAAATACTTACCCTTTCTCACAGGTGAAGCAATCTAGATACATGCATTCTTTATCATTTGGGATAATTTCTCCGCCTTGTAGGCAACTTTTTATTCTATCATTTCTGTGTGTGTAAGATAGAGCCGTTCAGGGTAAGAAAGGGTCACAAATTAGGAAAATCCGATGCCGCAATGCGGAAAAGGCGACGTTATGAAAATAAAACCATTTACAATATATTGACCGTACAAGCTCTCAAGCTGAGATTATTTCCTCTGTACCTATGTTTGCAAATATGGAGTATGCTTAATCTCGCCGACAGATTCGTTTTCGTCAAAAAGCTCAGGGGAAAGTGGGAATTTTCAAAATGGTAGCCAATCCTAACGTATTTTCATAGTTTTTAAGCTTATACTGGTACTTGGAATGAGAGAAAAATACTCTTTCATACCCAGGGGTTAAGGATAGGGAAAATCTACCATCCGGATTATCAGATTTGGCAAAACCCTCGGCACAGCCTCGGATTTTACCAAATTTGAAAACCCCTCGGGTGAAATTTCCCTATCCTACACTCCTGGGTATAACAGAGTCTTATATTCATACACCCTTTATCACGTGGGATACTTACTCCGCCTCACAGATGAAGCTTTCATGAGTCGAGCAGTGTTCGTCATTCCAAAATAGTTTGAAGTCGAATTTGATCAGCATACAGTTTTCACCGTTTTTGTTATCAGGCTGACGCGGTGCCCAGTGACTGAAATATAAAGGTATGGTGTCTAGCTCCAAAATGTTTAGATTCTCATATGTTCTATTGTATATTGCTATAGAGCTGTTTTTCTAACATTAAGACGACAATGCTGTACTGTACATACCATTTGTATAGAAATTCCTATCACCTCTTGTTTAACAATTGTATTAGGAGATAAACAGAATTCTTGACTCAAAAATACAAAATGATACGGATAGTCATCAAACAAAGTATTTTCCCTTTAAGCTTAGCATCCTACCGATATATGTATTGTGGTATTGTCGTAAACATGTTAAACTTGACTTTATATAATTATGAAAAAAATATCTGGTGACAATTAATGTTCATAACATTCATTGTTCTGTACGATTATCACACTTTATGCATGTAGTTATAACACAATCGATATGCATTTATAAACAAAAAAATGTGTTATCATTGTTTCCATGTTATTTTTTTAAGATGTTGAAAAAATTGCACTTTGCATAGCACATAACACCCAACCTTCAACAAAGTGCATGTTAGAGTCTGAGACTTCATAAGTTGATTTATGACGCTAAATATAATATTTCAATCAGTAAGATGGTATCATATTATACGTAGTGTAGCTTCGAAAAGTACCAATTTAATCTTCATTATGTTAACTATTATTCTACCACGTCTATGATGTAACGACACTTTTTATTGTTAAAAAACATGCTTTATTGCACTATAATAAATGTGCATGCATCAGTTTGTCCCGCAAAACATATGCATTTACGAGCAACATTCTTCCACAAAAGTCCCCTGTATTGAAATTGTAAATGCCAAGCTTATGTTCAAACCGTCTGCCGATTTTCCGATAAAAGCAACACATGTTTGTATATTATTTGATTATATATCACGGGATTCAAAAATGTTGGAAAAATGATTAACATAGCGGCCTTCGTTGATTTTGTCCCATTCTTTCCCCATCCTGGTTTTATTTCAACAATAATAGAGGAACATAATATGTTGATTTTCCCAATGATTGCAGATTTTGGGAAAGTTAATCCGCGTCTGATTAATGCTGAAATAAAATGAGAACTTCTTTGCATAACATGTCATATCATTGTATAGTCATGTACTTCGGTCGTACATTTATCCTGGCTAGTTATATAGACTGATCACTATAAATAGCCTGTGCAATTACCTGATCTTATCTGATCTTAACTCTTTCACCCCTGAAGATACATTCGAACTCTTCCATTTTAAAGGTTGGATTAGTTCATTATGAAATTTCAGGGGTGACGGAGTAAAGTTATTTTACGATTTCGCAACGTATAATACTTACGTGAAGCCGGTGATGGCCTGAGAGTAACCAGGTGTTCCCACCCACATCCACTCCCCCTCAGCCATCAAATCCGACCCGTCCACCCAATAGTTCTCTATTGGGGCAGTCCCTTCAATGAAAAAGAGTGCATACATGTTGCATGGTTTTGATTCAAGACAAGAACTTACTTGTTTATAAAGTGTATCTCTAAATTTGAAAATAGAAATTATTTCCCCATCGAGTGGTTAGGTACAGTAGACGTCAAAACTAAACAGAAGACAACATAAACTGCCAAAATTCGATGCTGCTACAACTAGCTTGCTTCTGTTTTGCTTTTCTTTATATAATTTAGCAGAAACACAGTGTTTTTAATTTCTGGTTTCTTAAATACATAATAATGGATCCTTGATTACGACTTATTCCATATTACTTTTCAATATTTATGTTGAAATATAGTGTCGATGTTTGAAAACATTTAAAGTTAGACTAAAGTTTAAATATTTGTTATGATCTTGTATTGAGTGTCCTAGGACTTTTATCTTGGAACAGTATTCTTGTTGTCGGGGACTTACATACCATGGAAAATAAATAACCTTTAAAATCAGATCTGGATATATTTCGTAATATTTTGGTTTGGTATAATGGTTTTACAAAGAAGATATCGAGAAAAATGTTTCATATAAGATTTCACAAAGCGTGAAAAGTTCGAAAAGAATAAAAAAACAATTTAAAGTATACCTACTGTTATCATGTACCTCGGTTAACACGGGGAAGGTATTAAGGTATACTGTTATTATATACCTCAGTTAACACAGGGAAGGTATTAAGGTATACCTTCTGTTATAATGTAACTCAGTTAACACGGGGAATGTATTAAGGTATACCTACTGTTTTATGTACCTCAGTTAACACGGGGAAGGTATTAAGGTATACCTACTGTTATTATATACCTCAGTTAACACGGGGAGGGTATTAAGGTTTACCTACTGTTTTATGTAACTCAGTTAACACGGGGAAGGTATTAAGGTTTACCTACTGTTATTATGTACCTCAGTTAACACGGGGAAGGTATTAAGGTTTACCTACTGTTTTATGTAACTCAGTTAACACGGGGAGGGTATTAAGGTATACCTACTGCTATTATGTACCTCAGTTAACACGGGGAAGGTATTAAGGTATACCTACTGTTAATATGTATTTCATTTAACACTGTTTCCAGCAATGTTTCCTCTTCCTGTGTTTCTATCTTCACTAAGTCTGCGCCAAATACTTGACAGTATAGCTGAAATACAAGTTAGTATTTCGATAAACTATTCATTATATAGGACCTAGGATATAAATAACTTATTACATCAGACCTTTGATATAAATAGCTAATAATATAAGACCTATGATATAATTATATAAATATCTTTTTATATCTGATCTATGATATAAATAGCTTATTTTATAGGAATTGTGATATATATAGCTTATTATATAAGACCTATGTTATCAATAGTTTATTAAATAAGACCTATGATATCATGTGGGTAGGGACTACTGATAAAAAGTACCGCAAGGTTTGGTTTCTTTCCAGAAATGATTTATCAAAGCTAAAAATCATGCATGAAAACAGTGTCCAATAGTTCCAGTCTTGGCAGTAGTACGAGATTCTCTACTTGCAATATACGGTTTCCCGTTGATACGACAGACGACCAGACATTTAACATGATTGCACCGAGTATATAATATTTCAAACTATATGTACACGTCTATCCAAGTATACTCATCGACATAAACTATATGTACACGTCTTTCCAAGCATACTCATCGACATAAACTATATGTACACGCCTTTCCAAGTATACTCATCGACATAAACTATGTGTACACGCCTTTCCAAGCATACTCATCGACATAAACGATATGTACACGCCTTTCCAAGTATACTCATCGACATAAACGATATGTACACGCCTTTCCAAGTATACTCATCGACATGACCTATATGTACACGCCTTTCCAAGTATACTCATCGACATGACCTATATGTAAACGCCTGTCCAAGTATACTCATCGACATGAACTATATGAACATTGTACTGGAGTTTACTTTTCTGTTCTGTGCTGACTTGAAGTGAACAGTAGAATGCAAAAAATATTTACTACAGTGTCTAAAAACAATTACTATAACTAAAGTAAAAGTCTTGATGGTAACAAAGCTGACTGTGTAAACTGTATATAATGTTTGATACAGGTATAACAATAGAATCTTACTGCGTTAACGCTTGGTACGGCAAAGTGTGTAGTCAATTCTTCTCTTTATATATGCTTATTGAGGTCGTGGGTCGATCATATTCGAGATTACAGGTAACACATATTATTTACTACTAATACATTGTAATATACATATAATACCCATATCTACATGTTCCATTTCACGTAGTTTAGCAGATTCGCTTACAATCAAGTTCTCAGTTTCAATTGATTGTGGTTGTTTTGGCTTAGGACACATTGATAAAATCATCTACATTTGACCAAAATTGATGCAAAATTTACAATTTCTGCCAAATCATGAATGAAATAAAGGTTATAGTTATAAAAACCTAATTAAAGAATTTATATATTGATATATATAAATACATTTTCTAATTTATTAATATATATATAACAAGGACATGGTTATTAGGGTATAACTGATATGTACATACCTTGGCATTGATCCAGGACACAGGTTCAACCATCACTTTATAACAGCCATCGCCATGCTTTTCAAAATTATTCGGACATCCTCCTCGCGAACCTTCATGGAGTAATGTAATTAAATATTTGTAGCTTGAATTATGTTTTTTTTGTCTCATTTTGTTTAAATTACACTGAGATTTGAGGACTTATAGAGTGGTTTAGTATTGCATTTAGGAATCGCATAAGATCGTAAATTAAGAATCAAATTTTGAAACGTGTGTCTTACAGACGTAGATGTGGCAGAAACAAAATTAAAAACTAAAGCTCTACCGTATTTCTACTTAATAAGGATAGAAGGATAATTGAAGGACATATGTACATTTTCAAATAGCTTAATAAGAATTCATTGAGGCCTACAGACAAGGTTGTTTACGTGTGCAAAACTATATTATTTGCATAACGACTTGATCAACCTGTCTGACCTTCATCTTTTACAGATGTATTTACTTTATTTAATTTAAACCTTATTTATTTCTGGTAATAAACAAAACATGTTATATTCAATACATCATCAGCAACAACTCGGGAACAAGTGCTCAGTACTTATACCAATCCCGTTTCGTTACTTTATTTTCTACTGACGATATAGCCCGAGTTTCCTCTGGCCCTGACACCAGACTTCTACATTTTGACAGAAAGATGTCAGGGCCAGAGAAAACTCGAGCTACTGATGATATTGTTACTTGTGCAAATGGACATTACATGAAGCTACTTGCTCCAGGACGATTGTATCACATACACCACTATACAATGTCAAGAATCTTGCATATGGGAGACAGATGGCACTTAAAGCAACGAAATTTCCAGAACACCGGCACCTGGCTTTTTTAATTTACCTGGAGGTCTCTATATATATTCAAATCTCGAGTAGAAACCGAATGGAATAAAAGCCAAGATATAAGCAATTATATATGTTCATTAACCTTAGGCTGTGCCAGATTTCAATAAACCGCGCAAACTTGAAACCACAACAACAACAATATATACATTTCACCGTTAGAGACCTGGGAAATACTGTAAGCCAAATGGAAAGCTCAAGCAAAAAAGGATATCTGCTATTGTGGCAACATATATGTGTTGATATTAATTCTACACAATTAAGCAGATCATATTAGGATACTCTTAATCGAATTGTAACCCCCTACCTTGTAACCCTGCACATAGAACGAAGACGAGGGCAATGATCTTCATGTTGACCGTCTGGTTAGGGAGTGTAAGATCGTGCTTGTCCTTATTAATAGTGGTTTCTTATCAGTATTAGATTGTAAGGTCAACACTTCGCTTCTCGAATTGTTTATATAGCATAATTACAACCAATCAGAAAACATTTAACCCGTATTGTTCGTATCGCTGAAATGCTACTTCCGAAATAAAACACATTTTAATTACCGAAACGCATTTTTATACTAATACACTTAGTTTTCAAACAAGAAACAATTCAAAATATTTCTTCAAAGCAATTTGTAACGGAATTATTTTATATTATTTTTCAATTCGCTAGTCAATAGCAAATGACGAATCGACGTCATTCCTCCCTTACATAGACCAGTTATTGGACAGGTTGACCTAAATGACATGCATCCAATTCTTTATCACGCACACAGCCAAGCTATATCCTTATCAATCGGTCGACCTTTTAAATTTACACAGATAATAATGTTGACTCTAGCAGTTCTATTGTCCACCCTTTTCGTTGGTAAGTATTCATGTTACTATCACAATTGTTACTATGAGATTATTTTTGTCGCTTTGTTTGTTGGTAATAAATATTTTATAATGTTACAATTGTAACTTTTATATTTGTTGTATTGGTCTGGTTTTATGCGAGTTTTGTTGATGCATATATTAACACGTTTTGTCTGGAAACATTGTTGAGGATGAAACATTACTAGGATTTGGTCTAGAAGACACTCCGGAACACCTGGTTTTATTCTCCTTGTACCTTTTCGTGTTTCCATGTAAATATTTCCTTTGTACATATTTTCCCCTTGTTTGATCGATTTTGTGTTCGATGTTTCGTGGACACTTTGGTGTTTTTTGTTATTGTTCAACATTGCACGAAGAGTTAATTCCTTGCCCATCTTAGTTGGCTGCAATGGCAATTCCTTGGAGCATTTTAGACGCAGATTCGAATTTTAGTTTTGCAGAAAATAGGTATTAACCGTAGGTATTCTTCGGGAAGGTTTTGGTTTGTTTGTTAAATACAGTTCTAAGAAGTAAAACGCATATCTGGTTATTTTCACGGGGAGGATTTTTTCTTCGGTGTTTTACACTCTATATATCACCAAAGACCAAATTCTGTTCCGTTGTATAAGTGCTCAATACAAAAGTCACAAACCTTAGTAAATTCATGTCATGTACACAAATTGAAACGTGAAGATATTTCAGACAAATGTTTATACACTTCTCTTAAAAACATATACTATTGTCTTTAATTGTTAGTTTATATACTTTTGTATAATTAACATGATTGTTACAACTGATGAGTCAGAGGAAATGAAGGGTTTGAGGTTGGGGTCAGTTAAGTGAATGTTTATGATGTTGATCTCTGTGTAGGTGCCTTTAGTGTCTGTCCGTACGGGTTTACTCTCCATGGAGGTTCCTGTTACCTGGTGGTAGGACTGAACTCAACATGGATAGAAGCTAAGGTAAGTTGTATGTATTGTGTATGCAAACCAGAAAGACGATGGATAATATTGAAAATTATTTTAACTTAGTTATAAATTGTATAGACGTTTCGTTATTATGAAAAGGAAAAGGAAGATTTTTTTTTGTAAACCTTAGGAAGCGCCAATGTAAATATATGGAAATAATACACAGATATACAATTTTGATATTAGATATCTTTGAAGTTTACCATTTTTCATGCATTTACATTTCATGCATTATGGTAATCACATTTTGAAATGAATATAAACAGTTATAATGGATTTTCCTGAATAATATGTCCTTAACAGGTACAACTACACAATAAAATAACCCTTTTTTAGTATCTCTGAACTTATTTTTAGTATCGATAAATTACGTCGTATTAACGAATACCTATAGTGTCTCGTCAGCCTCAGTAGGCTGGGTGTCAATCATATATTGTTTGTATATTTTAATTCATGCTTGTATGTATGAATGTTTAGCAAAATTGACATGTGACACTTTAATAAAATAATTTGCATTGTATGGTATTGCGTTATACTACACAATACATTAATATATACTGTATGTTACTAGTAAAATACCTACACGAAACGACAGGTAGAGCTTAAAGATTGTTGTATATTATTGTTTTCATTACAAAATTTCTCATTTTTACCCTACGAGGAAGGATTTGTAAACTTTTAAGCATTTTAGGCATACATGAGATACTATATTAATATTTCATGATATGAACTTATATGTATATTTAAGTCCGTTTCCGCCGTAGAAATATTGTGATGTGGTGGGAGGCGACCTAGCTGTGGTCGAGTCCGCGGAAGAGGAGACGTACCTGGTCAACATATTGAAGCAGATTGACACCGCAGGTATGGATAAATAGTGAAACTATGAGCGTTCAGGGTAATTATCAGTGGTCATTGGGACATACAATTAGTAGCCAATACATTGTAATGTTAAAGAATAACTTTAAATTCCAGTTGACCACAGGTATTCTAGATAGAAAAGTCGATGGTCAAGAGTAAAAAGGTAAATATATTGTTTCTTTTAATTACCATGGGTTGTTCAATAAAGTTCAATTATCGTTATATTGTAATTCTTAGTAAGCAATCAATTAAATCATTGATAGTCAATAGATTCTAATGAGAATAATCGTCAATTAATTGTAATTTTTCTTTTCTTTTCCATTGTTTACGGCCTATATTATCATAAACAGCAGAAGGGAGACAAATCGTACTGTAATACAACAGGAATGACCATAAAAAGAACTTACTCATCCTGCACGTGTGAATACTGAAGAGTAATTTCTGATTTCACGGTTTCAATATCTTACATTTATACATATCTTGATAACAGTTTGTTTTTCATAAAGAATAACTTCAATGTATGCAAGATACATGTAGATTAAAAGTTGATTTTGAAGTAGATTAACACCAACTTAGGTATTTCAAAATACAACATGAACGGTTTACATTTTTTTTTTAATCAGGAACAATTTTTCCGGAGAATTACTGGTTAGACGGAACTGATGTTGTCAAAGAGGGAGAGTTCCGATGGATGGGAAAAAATGGAAATTCCATTCCAATTTCCGGCTACACGTATAAATGATTTAGAAACATAATCTCTGCTTAAATTTTAGAGCGTTTGCACATAAAGGTTTTACCAGATATCTTATTTCACATATTCTGTAACTAAAATATCTTTCGATGGACCTTAACTCTGATTTATTTAGACATGTACATCACTTCATCAATATATTTTGAACGGTGTTTTTTATGTTGTGTACCTGTGTAGATATTATATATATTTACCTCATGTTTATGCCTGTTATCATTGTTGTCGTGTAATTGTAAATGTATGACGGGAGAAAAATTGCTAAATTAACATGAAATTGTAATAACGTGTGCTTAATCCCTTGTTCAAATGAATTGGCAATCTAATATGTTTAAACCAAAGTGATATCTTCTTTTATCTTCATTTATTCTTATACCTTGACTACTTTTTAAATATACCCAGAAACAAAAGATTTCTTGTAAAAATTTCCTCATGTGATATATTTACTAAATTGATAGATATTATTCAATACATTCCTTTAATTCGCCAGCAATTGGTCCCCGGGGCAGCCTGACAATGCCGGTCGTACAGAGAATTGTCTGGAGATACGATTTTCATTCAGCATCCTCTGGAATGATCTAGACTGCAATACCAAGCAAAATTTCATCTGTGAAGCCAGGTAGGATTGTATTGCAAATTTGTTTTTTTTGGTAAGCCCTTCAAATGTCAAACGCTCACGACTGCTTCTTTTAACAGGTTAAGGATTATATATTTTTAACGTCAATGTTTAAGCTATTTTAATCAAATTATTTCACGATTGATATAATCTCCAGCACACACGCAGGAATACACACATAGGAAGATATTAGCCAGGTGGCATATGACTAGTAGTTAGGGCCTAATAAGGCAGCTCCTGCTAATTTCTCAAAATGTTATTGATTAATGTATATGCCAATTGTATTTAATGTATATTCATGAACTGAAAGCGCTTTATATAGTGGCTTATGTTAACTAGATAGGGCGCTATAAATAGGGGCTAATGTTAACTAGAAAGGGCGCTTTATATAGTGGCTTATGTTAACTAGAAAGGGCGCTTTATATAGTGGCTTATGTTAACTTAGATAGGGCGCTATATCAAATGTTGTTTATCATTAATAGTAGTATTGATAATTGTCAACACAGGACAATTTCAGTTCCACAAATATTGCGAACATTTAGGAGTGATTCATTTAAATAAGTTATAACACGTCTAACGCTAATGTATATGACCTATCTCCCTATATACCTTAAAATCCGTGCTGAAAAACTAAGTATAATTATTAAATATATTTTCTTTAGAATCGATATGGTGCCATATATTGGAAAATAACGTTATGCTAAGTACCCAGAACATACAATAAGTAAAGCTGCTACTGCACTGCCCAACTCATACACGTGTCTCGGGCCTATACCCAAATTGTTTTTGTTGTTTATAAAACAANAATTATCAGTGGTCATTGGGACATACAATTAGTAGCCAATACATTGTAATGTTAAAGAATAACTTTAAATTCCAGTTGACCACAGGTATTCTAGATAGAAAAGTCGATGGTCAAGAGTAAAAAGGTAAATATATTGTTTCTTTTAATTACCATGGGTTGTTCAATAAAGTTCAATTATCGTTATATTGTAATTCTTAGTAAGCAATCAATTAAATCATTGATAGTCAATAGATTCTAATGAGAATAATCGTCAATTAATTGTAATTTTTCTTTTCTTTTCCATTGTTTACGGCCTATATTATCATAAACAGCAGAAGGGAGACAAATCGTACTGTAATACAACAGGAATGACCATAAAAAGAACTTACTCATCCTGCACGTGTGAATACTGAAGAGTAATTTCTGATTTCACGGTTTCAATATCTTACATTTATACATATCTTGATAACAGTTTGTTTTTCATAAAGAATAACTTCAATGTATGCAAGATACATGTAGATTAAAAGTTGATTTTGAAGTAGATTAACACCAACTTAGGTATTTCAAAATACAACATGAACGGTTTACATTTTTTTTTTAATCAGGAACAATTTTTCCGGAGAATTACTGGTTAGACGGAACTGATGTTGTCAAAGAGGGAGAGTTCCGATGGATGGGAAAAAATGGAAATTCCATTCCAATTTCCGGCTACACGTATAAATGATTTAGAAACATAATCTCTGCTTAAATTTTAGAGCGTTTGCACATAAAGGTTTTACCAGATATCTTATTTCACATATTCTGTAACTAAAATATCTTTCGATGGACCTTAACTCTGATTTATTTAGACATGTACATCACTTCATCAATATATTTTGAACGGTGTTTTTTATGTTGTGTACCTGTGTAGATATTATATATATTTACCTCATGTTTATGCCTGTTATCATTGTTGTCGTGTAATTGTAAATGTATGACGGGAGAAAAATTGCTAAATTAACATGAAATTGTAATAACGTGTGCTTAATCCCTTGTTCAAATGAATTGGCAATCTAATATGTTTAAACCAAAGTGATATCTTCTTTTATCTTCATTTATTCTTATACCTTGACTACTTTTTAAATATACCCAGAAACAAAAGATTTCTTGTAAAAATTTCCTCATGTGATATATTTACTAAATTGATAGATATTATTCAATACATTCCTTTAATTCGCCAGCAATTGGTCCCCGGGGCAGCCTGACAATGCCGGTCGTACAGAGAATTGTCTGGAGATACGATTTTCATTCAGCATCCTCTGGAATGATCTAGACTGCAATACCAAGCAAAATTTCATCTGTGAAGCCAGGTAGGATTGTATTGCAAATTTGTTTTTTTTGGTAAGCCCTTCAAATGTCAAACGCTCACGACTGCTTCTTTTAACAGGTTAAGGATTATATATTTTTAACGTCAATGTTTAAGCTATTTTAATCAAATTATTTCACGATTGATATAATCTCCAGCACACACGCAGGAATACACACATAGGAAGATATTAGCCAGGTGGCATATGACTAGTAGTTAGGGCCTAATAAGGCAGCTCCTGCTAATTTCTCAAAATGTTATTGATTAATGTATATGCCAATTGTATTTAATGTATATTCATGAACTGAAAGCGCTTTATATAGTGGCTTATGTTAACTAGATAGGGCGCTATAAATAGGGGCTAATGTTAACTAGAAAGGGCGCTTTATATAGTGGCTTATGTTAACTAGAAAGGGCGCTTTATATAGTGGCTTATGTTAACTTAGATAGGGCGCTATATCAAATGTTGTTTATCATTAATAGTAGTATTGATAATTGTCAACACAGGACAATTTCAGTTCCACAAATATTGCGAACATTTAGGAGTGATTCATTTAAATAAGTTATAACACGTCTAACGCTAATGTATATGACCTATCTCCCTATATACCTTAAAATCCGTGCTGAAAAACTAAGTATAATTATTAAATATATTTTCTTTAGAATCGATATGGTGCCATATATTGGAAAATAACGTTATGCTAAGTACCCAGAACATACAATAAGTAAAGCTGCTACTGCACTGCCCAACTCATACACGTGTCTCGGGCCTATACCCAAATTGTTTTTGTTGTTTATAAAACAATTAATCTTAGATAAAGTCTGTAACACTTTGTTAACGTTCTGTTTGTTCGTATTTTCAAAGAATAATTTTTAATGTGAAACAATTTTTCAATTTCAACATTCATCAGAAAGAAGTAAAAAAAACCACCAATTCTTTATATTTATGATAATTGTTATGTAAAACAAATGGTCTAAATAAGTTATTCTGTGAGCGAATTCATGGTGTTGATAAGTGTACTGTTTAAAATTGAGGTTGTTGAAAAATGTGGAATAAGCTTCACGGAAAGCATGTTATTATCTGAATGAAAAAATAATCCATCTTTCAGCTTTAACATATGTTTTAGAGTTAAATATGTTTGTATGTCATTAAGTGGCAGTTCTTTGCAATTTCAAAAATTGCAATGATTAAGATCTAATGATATTATTTAACATTCGTTTACAAATTTTGGAACCATACCAAACTAAGCCTCAAACCACACATGTTGCTGTCTAACAATAACTTTATTTGTTTAATCGATGAAGAAGATAAAAGAAAAAAAAAAGAAAAAAAAAATCACGATTAATTCTATGAAACGAGACTCAAATCGATAACCCTTAGAGATCAAAATGCAACGGACAAGCATGCATAATCCCAATCGGCAAACCTCAGTTGATTCCACTACGCTCCATCGTTAGTGTCATTCGGAACACATCGCCCTGATTGCAGCTCCCGAATCGGACGAGGTGTTCCAAATGCATAAGTGTACGATGAACAAGCCACCCTAGGAGTTCCGAGTGTGTATAATCTAGTGAAGTGACTTATTAACGAGTACCTTTTGTTGACATGGAAACCAACACAAATAATCGAACAATATCAGTGGAACGTTTCAGAACTATGACTTGGTGTATTATATATATGAATCACTAACTGTAGAATTTTGTTTGTTTGAGCTTCTTTTTCTCATCAGTTGTTTTGTTTAAGCCAATTAAAGTATACAGTTTTCTGTACCAATCTTCTAAATGTGCAATGTTTTCTTTATCATATTATAATATGCCCTGATTAAGACTTATATTTGAATTTGTAAATATGTTTTATTTCAGCATTGAGTGGGAGGGTGGCACAGTTTTTGGATAAAGTCATCAGTGAGTTTGTTTTGAGTGTAACAAATCGTGCTTCAATAAAAGAATAAAACGACTCATACACTTACATAGGGAATTGATCTCATGTTATTACATTTGTATCCGTCTGGTCACTCGTAAAAGGTTGTTTAAAATTTTAGAACTAAATATAATCTTAAATGTATCACTTTAAAGTTATTTTTTCAGATATCCTTATTAAGAGATTCAGAGTAAATTTGAGTTGGTGCTATTTCAACGTATTTTCACCAATAGAAATATAAAGAAACTATATATGATCGGTATTCAAAGTTACCACCTGCCTCAAAATATATTAGTATTTATGCCCATTTCTTCAAAAAGTTGAATTTGAAGTCCGGTCGGAATGTATCATTGAGCTTATCAATATTCATACAACTGGACCTTGTCACCAATACTTAATTTTGGTCATCAATAAGCTTAGGCTAGAAAGAAACTTGCTGTTAGGATCCTGGTCACCAATAAGCTTGGGCTAGAGAGATAAACCTGATTATTGGATCCTGGTCACCTATAAGCTTTGGCTAGAGAGAGACTTGTTTATTTATTTATTTTATTTATTTCCAATTCAACAGACCCAAGGATCCACTTACAGAATGGATAACAACATTACAACACAAGTATACAATATCACAGCCAGTTATGCATGTAACATAGACTAAAAGATACTCATATGTAAAACAAAAGAAACTAGTGATAGCAAATATTCTTTAACCGTACTTTAAACTCGGCGAGAGAGGAACAAAACATATCACAGTCTGAGTCTGGTGCCAAAATCAAGATAGTTAAAATTACATTGAATCCTGTTTAAAATACTATACTTTCTAATTTACTTGACTAAATATGGACAATCAAAATCACTATCAACACATTTGTAAAGCAATACACAATCTAAAAATGCCCGCCTTTGTTCGAGGCTAGGAAGATTAAAATGCCTACAAGTATCAGCATAAGACATGGAATTGTAATCAACGTGTGCCTTAAAACATAAAAAATTCAAACATTTACGCTGGACAACTTCGACCTCGTGAATTAAAGATGTTTGGTAAGGAGACCAGATCTGACAACAATATTCTAACTGACTCCTGACAAGACTTATATATAGGGACCTTAAAACAGGTATTTGTTTAAAACTTGTACATGTACGTTTAATAAAACCGAGCCTTCGCATTGATTTGGAAACAGAACGACTAATGTGGGTACTAAAACTCATTGAAGAGGTCAGCCAAACATCAAGATCTTTCACACACCATTCATTTTTCAGGTTGTCACCGTTCATAGTGTAATTATTACTTTTTATTGGATCCTTGTCCCAATTAAGCTTGGATAAGAACGATACTTTCTTACTTGGTTCCGTTCACCCATACGCTTAGGCTAGAGAGAGACTTGCTCAATGGATCCTTGCCACCAATACGCTTAGGCTAGAGAGACACTTGCTCAATGGATCCTTGCCACCAATACACTTAGGCTAGAGAGAGACTTGCTCAATGGATCCTTGCCACCAATACGCTTAGGCTAGAGACTTGCTCGATGGATCCTTGCCAACAATAAGCTTAGGCTAGAGAGAGACTTGCTCAATGGATCCTTGCCAACAATAAGCTTAGGCTAGAGAGAGACTTGTTCAATGGATCCTTGCCACCAATAAGCTTAGGCTAGATAGAGACTTGATCAATGGATCCTTGCCACCAATAGGCTTAGGCTAGAGAGATACTTGCTTTATTGATCCTGGTCACAAATAAACTTAGGCTAGATAGAGACTTGCTCAATGGATCCTTGCCACTAATAAGCTTAGGTTAGAGAGAGACTTGATCAATGGATCCTTGTCACCAATAAGCTTAGGCTAGAGGGATACTTGCTTTATTGATCCTGGTCACAAATAAACTTATGTTAGAGAGAAACTTGCTCAATGGATCCTTGCCACCAATATGCTTAGGCTAGAGAGAGACTTGCTCAATGGATCCTTGCCACAAATAAGCTTAAGCTAGAGAGAGACTTGATCAATTGATCCTTGCCACCAATAAGCTTCGGCTAGAGAGATACTTGCTTTATTGATCCTGGTCACAAATAAACTTAGGCTAGAGAGGGACTCGCTGAATGGATCCTAAAACTAAACTAGTGAGCTTAAGTCAGAATCAATTAAAATCCACTAGTTTATCAAGGATTGGTTCAATAAGTGAATTGGTGTATATAAATATAGTATCATCCTTGTAAAACTGTAACATGCATTTAACAAATTCTGAACGTCTCAAAGTTTTTATGCTTGATTTACTCCCACTACAAATAGTGTGGGGGATATGCGTGACAAGATTGACATTGCACACATCTTTAATCCTAGGGTTGTCACAGCAAGTTTTGTTTGTGTGCACTGAACAACCTTGTGTAGATTTAATTCCTTTGAAAATGACAGATCACTTAGCACAATTTCTGCTAAACATAAACTTTAATAAAGGTATCCTATTTCATATTAATTGTGAGTTTGTTTATCACCTTTTTTCCATCTTTCGAATCCCCGTTTTTCAATAAGTTTTAATGTGATATCCGTACCTGTTATTTGTGTTATATTTAACTGCCTTTAATAATTTAGGTTAATGTTATCTAATAATTTAGCCTGCGTTAATGACATCGTTGCACGAATGCATTCGTATAAGGTTGAGTATACCATTCGTATAAGGTTGAGTATACCATGGAATAAGTTATAATCGTCAAGAAGAGCTCAACTGAGAGTGTTTTTCTCTTCTATATAAAACACATATAGAAAAGCAATAAGTAGGAGTTTTTCTATTTTACAATTCTTTGTCTTATTTTTATTGACTTTGCTGCTAATAAATTTAAAACTGATTTTGATGTTGTGTATCTATTACGGATGCCTTCAGTTATAAAATGTACGGTTTTCAATGAAAATTTCGAGGTTCGACCCAAACGTTTCTGTTTTTCTTTTAAATATTTCTATTTCATACATTCAGATTTCGAATAACTATAATTCTGTAAAATGTGTGATTTTTACGGGTTACTTCGTTTGAAAAAGACCTATACAAATATTTCACTATGCTAACAATGGTTATAATATAGCTTCACGTGTTGGTACCTGTGACCTAAATATCGAAGATATTTGTTTTCTTTTTAAAGTCAATGATTTGATAAAAATGTCGTTCCTAAACTGAGGAACTGTCTTGGAAAAGAGATACGTTTGTGGTTAAGTATAGCATATCTCTTTGATAAGGGTAAGGCAAACTTAATGCAATGCATACACATCTTACAGAGGTGGTAACACCAACATCTAACTGTTGAGGCAATCAAAATTTAACATCCAGATTGTGTGTACATGTAATCAGAGATTGTGTTGTTCCTCCTTGCATAACATTTTTTACTCCATGATATTTTATAACATATGTCCTGTAAACAAACTGTTCAATGGAACAAATCATATGCAAAGATAAGGTTTAGATCAGGCTCTTTGTTAAAGAGTTTGATGTTTTTCGGACAAAACAGTTTACGGTGATGTTATCATTTGACAAAATATATAACGGCGATGTTATCATTTTGTTGTTTTGATTAAGCATATGTAAGTCATTTAAATGTTTTCAACTTCAAACGCACGAGTAATCATCGCGAATGCAATAGACACTTTACACAATATGTTATATAAACACGTGTGTATTGTCTGTGTAACGGGCCAAGGCTACTCGTCGTTACCTTTACAAAGGAGAAATATGAGTATATGACAGTATGATAACGTCAATTCCAAACCAGTGCATTACGTCATTGTTAAGCGGATAGGCTAATGTGAGCAAACATGTAATCATTATACTGGCTTGCGATCAAAGTAACTTAGAAGTATTGTGAATTATTTGAGACGTATAAGGCTACTCGTACCAAGCCACACTACAAACTGATGGGACTCAGTTTAATAGTACATATAGCAGAGAAATCTGTTTGATATGGTTTTATGCACAATGCATGTGTTACAAACTATCATGCATTGCTAATCTAATTTCCTGACCCCAGTGTGGACTTTCTCATTGCCCTTACACTATAAGGATGTATATAACAATATAAGACTCTGTCATGCCAAGAAGTGTAGGATAAGTTCAGAAACCTTGAAAATGCATTTGGACTAGACACCATTTTGAAAATATTTTTCCCTGTTTATTTTTCGAAAAAAATGAATCAGTCAGTCAGATTAATCCTTATCCCATAATAGCAAACAGAGTTTGCATTGAACAATTATTCTCATCTTTCTAAATTGTACGGTAAATATATTGTAAAAGGTTTTAATTTCATAACGGTTGATAGATTGTAAAAGGTTTTAATTTCATCACGTTGCTTTTCCGCATTGCCGCATCGGAGTTTTCCAAATTCGTGACTTCACGTAATTGTTGGGCCATCGTGACATCACGTCACGTGAAATGGGGTGTAGGATAGAAATTTCCTACACCCTTTTCTTACCCTGGACAGCTTTATCTTACACACATGGAAATTAGAGAAAGAAATGTATTGCCCTTTGCAGGGAAACACGATTCTTTGTTTCTCCGAGGTTAATCATGTTTCACGAGGGCGAAAGATTAACCTCGGAGAACTAAGAATAGTGGTTCCCTACAGTAAGGGCCATACATATACTACTATGCCGAAAATAAATAACAACTAGGTTGTGGAGGCTCTTTCCGATATTTCTTGAGATGCTCCCCGAGTAAGTGAAATATGCTCGGGGAAACTTGAGCGCGTGAGGGCAACATGATATTTTATTGTCACGCCATGTGACCAGTATCATCCAATCACAAACGCTGTTCTAAAACTGATGTATAATAATACAGTATACGTCTACACATGTACCTTATAAGAGATGTGAGAACAACTTCAGAATCAGGATATTTCTTCTTCCCTCTCATTTTGAAACGACACAGAAGAGAGTAAATGTGATCTGCCATGTATATGAAATAGCTTAATCACTATTTTATCTACTTTTGAATGTGTCTCCCAAGCCTGGCTAACACATATGAATTAGGTGATCGGATCTCAGATCAGAGTTGTAGCTGCAGCTGTACTTTCTCACAGGAACACTCCTAGATATTTTGAAGACACAGTTCCTCCGAACTACCTTACAGACATATACACAACTATGGTGTTAACGTATTTCGCCTGCTTTCTTATCTCTACGTGAAATATAGCACCAACCACTCCTATCTCGAAGCTATTATGACTGCTGTGATAGCAACAGCATCGGTTTCCTCTTCCACTCTCCGATCCTTCTCCTAGTTTTGCGTTGCCGAATTCTTTGCTGCACATCTGTGTCCTGCATCAGCATTGACCCCAGTCATCTGCTGGAGGGACCCCTGACATGAATACATGTTATATAGTAAAATGGCGATCCGTTTACTCAAAAGTAAATGCTATCAACTAGTTTAAGGTGATACGGATTAAATGAAAATACCACAAACTCATAATTGGATAAGTTGAATGCTACTACTGACTTGTCAAGACCATCCGTTCATCATTATCAGCTAAATTAAAACAAAACCGGTCTCTGTGTTACTGAAGTCGCGTAAATCGTGTCTTTTCATTCATCCGGTTAATAATGGAATGTAATGAGGGTTCTTGCGTTGAAGTGGATAGCGCATTCGCCTTTCACAAAGGCGCCCGGAGTTCTACTAACTGATTCAATACGAAGAATTATGGGGACACCTGCATAACCACCCGGGTGTTCTGCGGGTACACCTTTACACAATAAGACCCCCTGCACTCTCCGTTCGGGCAATACAAGTGATAAATATAAGTTGGAAAAACACAATTTGTTGTAAATAAATAAAGCTTATAATTATACATATCAACATGTATAAGTCATATGTATCAACTATATGTGTAAAATATGTCTAAATTAGGATGTACGAACATTTTCCAATATTTTCCGAAATTTCTATCGAATTCTTTTGGTGAACCATTCGTTAAGCTTAACATACTTATAAAACACGATCTGTGTTCGTTAAAATGTGTAATCCGATTTAGTACGACCTGTGGTATTGTGTATTCTCAGCACGGCTGATCAACAGATAACCCGATAAAGGAAAACCGATTTACACCTTTCAAATCTTCAGGTAAATTGAATCAAGAGACAACACACTCATTCATTGTTTGACAAAAATACTAAACAAATTGTATTGTGTGTACTAAATCATTGCTATCGTATAACGTGCCAACTCGTACAATGTTGATACGTCAGCAGTGTCTCGTCCCTGTTCTGACGCCATAGTACTCGTACTGTTTACCGGCCTGGCTCCTATTTATCTTTTTCTTTTTAAGTGTGATGTGAATGAAGTCGTCATTATTTTCCTACATAAGTACCTGTAAATGAATTATAGAGGATATCGTATCCGGATCTTGCCAATGAACCCTATATACAGCGTAAATAGAAGTAAACTAGTATTTAGGATAAGACGTAGTGTATTATTCTTGTGTTATTAGGCATACCTAGTACATATCTTTTATCATATAACCATTGTGTTACACAGTAAACGTCGTCGTGTATTATGTTTTTGAAATGTCAACAAGGACAATTGTCAAAAAGGATGAAAGACCAAAAGAATCCTGAATTTACATGAGATCATGAGTTTCGTTTTGCATTTTTACGCTTGTTTCATAAATATCGTGCACATTAGAATTTGTTTCATAAATATCGTGCACATTAGAATTTCATTTGAAATTATATATTTATGATGTGTACAATTACGTAAGGATTCGTTGACAAAAAATACACCTTTGCTATTGTACCACCATTAGTAATCATTATTCCCTCATAATGAAGAATGACCTGAATGGTAACAGCATTCAATATACTGGTTAATTCGTCAAATTGATCATTTCTCCGTTGTTGACCTGCCTTCGCTGCCCAAGGAGTTAGCTTTCTATCAGCCTGTGTTCCTCTGAAAAATTACCCCTCATGTAGACTAACTCCCTCGGCTGTCTCTTGGGGTGCAGACTAAATCCCTCGACAATTTCCGTGACGAAAAATCAACAATAAACAACATATTTCTAGATAACATTTCTTCATTTTAATTTTCTATTTGTGTATAACACTAACAAAATATATTTGCATTTTCTTTTTATAAAATGTAATACAAAGTATTAATAAATAGGAATACCAGGTGTCATACATATGTATATAGTTTCTTGTGAAATATTTATAGCAACAGAGTGATCTCGTCAGTTGCTTTGTTTATTACAGGAAATTAGAGCCAGGTCCGATGAAAGAACACTTAAAAGGCTGACGTAGAACACAATAATTTAGAAACGAAATGAAAACTATAGGTTTACTCTTTACACCCTATTTTCAGTGCGCACAATTCAATTTTAATTTAAAACAAAATGAAAACATTGACGTGAGATATGTCATTTATGTTGGAGAAAACAATCGAAAAAATAATTTGATATTTGCCTAAAATTATTTATGAGATTTTGAATTTGCAAATTGAAAATACAAATTACAAATACGAATTTAAAGTAAAAGAAACATCATTGTAGATAATAGATATAAATAAAATATAACATCAATATCACATTTATGCTTTCTACAAAATCGACTCTTTTGAATACTACTTTGGCACATTTAACTACATACAATTCTCATTTAAAACAATGTTTTTATGAGATATAATTGTTTAAACATTCAACTTTGGCCGGTTTTAACAGTCGTTAATGTTAAGACCGCCATGTGACTTAACAAAAGTCAACGGCGATAAACACGTATTGATTACAGCACGAATACATCGTGAATATAACTTACATAAGTAACAATATAAACAACACATACATAACAAGAATATACACTGTATATAATATTATATTGTATACAAGTGTTAATAATAGCACTGTTTATCGACAGTGATATATTTTATCATGTCACCCTACAGGCCTACCGATAAAACCATGCAATCCTATAGGGCAACCCTTATAGGATTGCACTATAAGTCTGGCGCTGTCGAAACCACAAAAAATATGTGGGAATTTATATACACCGACTTTAAATAAAATAGGACGGATTCGTTATTGTATACAGCACTTGATTTGTTCTTATGGCTATATCGATCAGGGTAACATCAACGCTATGTAAAATCGAAATATTTAAAAGTTGTGGCACTGCTTTCAATCCATTAATGACAGCTGTAACACCCTGTGGGAACATTCATGCTATACGAAGTTATAAACGAAACATAGGGCGTGAGGTAGTCGTGTCATAGCTGACATCGGTAGATCAAAACATCTACATGATAAAAATCGATAAGGTGTACAATCTGTTCAAAAGAAGGTGTATGGAATACCAGAGTCGTTCTGTTTGAAGGACGTCTTACTCAACATATTGGTACTATATACAGTACAACAATTGTAACCATGGCTCAAATGTGACGAAAAAAACTAAGGTTCCGATTTAAGCTTTCTGATTTTGGTTGTCTAAGTGACAGTTATATATATATTCGTCACATGATCGTGATTAAAATATATTTAAAGAAATATTTTGGACTTTCTGATCAAATGTTATATTATCTTTAACGATGGGCAGCTATTTATATTTTAGTTTAATGTAATTTGTTGTCAAGATATCTCAAAATACAAAATTTAGAAAACTTAAATCTGTTTGGAAGTTCTATTTAATTTGAGCCTGGTTTTGTTGTAGATAACTGCGTCCGACATACCCCCTTGATACTGTACTACACTAAGTTACCAAAAGCAAAGAATCGATTTTGCCGCCGACGATTCGCAAAGTATTTCATTCGCAAAATCAATGTTTAGTTGAACGTTTTCGAAAATGAGTTTCCTCGATATTATTACGAATAAGGGACCCTTTTCTAATCAAAGGTAGATTCATTCAAAAACATTGTCATATACAGCTCATATATGTCATCACAGTTGCAAATCATACTCATATATTTCTGAAAATTACAACGCAATAACTAGTATATTTCGTATTTGTATGGCGTCGTACCCTTCGTCATTGTACTCTCTCTACCTCTCTCTTTCTTTATCTCTCTCTCTCTCTAATTGTTTCTCTTTCGGTATCTCTTTGTCTATCTTTCTCTTATTCTCTGTATTTCTCTCTGTTATTCCATCTCTTTCTCTCTATATGTCTTTATGTATATATATCTTTCTATGCTTCTCCGTATCTCTGATGATATACGCTAATTAAATTAACAACGCGAAACTTAATTCGATTCTCTGAAAGACATACACATTGAGATTATTGTTTTATACTAAATGAACTGTGCATCGAAAAAAATTATTTGCAAATACTTTATCCATCTTAATAATGTTAATCATATTTTAATGAATAAATCATAATTAAATATAAGATCACTTCAAAATGATAAAACAGATATCTAGTCAACGGGTAAGTATATTTGGATTGCCTGTATAACTTACATACAAACACTACTAGTGGGATTTCATTCAATATTTAGGTATTTAAATTTATTGCTAAACTATGAACATGAATAAAAGGCAGTTATCTATTTTTAATTAAGCAATGCAATTGATCTTTTTCGTACACGTGTCTGTAAAATACGTAAATGGAAACATTATAGAAAATAGAGTTTTACCTGGGTTATTGGAAAAAGGCTATCGGAAACATATATTAAATTATCTGGTTGACGTCATTTTAAATATTCTATTATACATATACTCTAGATCTTCCAGTCATTCAACATAATATGTATGGATAGTCGTCACTTGAAGGTAGAATAATGGGTTCTTTTCTTCTTTTATTTAACTTCAAAAGAAATCCAATACTTAATTTATACAAGAACTGAAACTTATTGGAATCAATTTGAAATAAATCACGTTCGTTGTTTTTGTATATACTTAAAAATACATTTATACTGTAACAACTATCATCACGTTATTAATGAAACACGGTGATAACAAATATACTCTGCTCTTTTCAAATTAATGCAAATGCTTTGTCATGCTTTAGGATTATATTATAATGTTCCCTTTCAATTCGCTTTAATCCGAAAGAAAAATCTTTTATAGAAACCTGTGTAATGTAATAGGGTTGTGGGTTCAATAGCCACAACCATATAAGCCCACTGTCTCAATACAATACAATAACGACGATTTAATGCATTTAAGCACATGAATATTATTCTAATGATTTAAAAACTGGCACATGTTGGGGTTTTATATAATGAAAACTTGTCACCCCTGATGAAATTATGTATTGTGAAATTAAATATGCTTGTAAAACGAAACGTTATTTATGGGATAAAGAATTAAAACCAATAATAGGAACACAAAGTAGAATAGATGAACAGTTTGGCTGGACAGTTGGCAGGAACTAAGGCAGTGAATAATGAAAGAAAGATCGCTACATTGACACATACCGTCTAACGATAACACAAAAATGTAAATAAAGGAGCAATATTATTATACATCATTTATCCGAATTAGCCATTAGAGGTTGTTTTAAATGTATCGCTATTATGTTTGCTATTTGCAAGCAGGTAAAACAGCACTGAACACATTCTTTATGAAACAAATAGGAATTTCCCTAGATAACTAACTCAAGCTATATTACTTAACCTACATTTGCTTGATTTTGCCATCATGATCGTTGTACGAAAACTCGACATGAAAAATATGTTTTGTTTTGAGAAATGACGGAAGCGAGAGGACACGTTTGCGAAAAGGATGCATTGCAGTCACATATATAACAACACGTATGGCTTACGCTGATAGCTGAGAACGATGAATGCCATTTTCTATTGGTAAAATTATCAGGTTGACACGGAGATGTAACAGATTATAAGATAATTCTAACAACACTTTGTTCGTCTTACCGTCATTGTTTCTAAGTATTTTTTTTTGATGTATCCAAAGCAACACCACATAGGTGACGACTGATTATTGTTAATTTACACTACCAGTAATCTGGTAAGAAGTGTTTATAAGGTTCTGGTGTGTCTGTTGCGGTTCATCTCATGAACACTTGTGGTAAATGTTACTTTCATGTCAGCTGGAGTTGTTTAGTAGTTGTATCTGTCCTTGTGGTGAGCACTTTCGGTTATTGAAGCTGTCCAAGTAAGGAACACTTCCGGTTGTTATTGCCATTCACGTCAGAAGCAAGTCCGGTCGTTTCAGTTGCTCTTTGACGTTCAGTCAGATTTGCCATATGCTCCACAATTTTTAGTAACGGAATGGCAGATTTTGAAACAACTCCATTCACACTATGTAATACGAGATGATACGACTTAAGTTATCATTATCGTGGTAATATTGCACGTTTGTTCAACAGTCTTCTGCTCATGCGATGCTGTGATATCATAAAAGGATGTCCCCTTCTAGGGGGAATGGGTGGTAGCAGGAAAATGTTGGGTTTGTATCTCTGACTACCTACGTGCATGATGACCCCTCCAGCTAGGTTGATAATTAGTCCCATGATTGCCATACCACATGACCAACTGACCGTCTGTGACACTTTGGTGACTGCTGACCCGTACACAATAATCCCAATAAAACCGACAAAAACTGAAAAGGAAATTTAACATATTAACTCATGTCCTTATATCTGCAACACATGTTGATACATCATTTCATACAGTGCACAGAAAAGCTTTTTGGTGGTCTATACTTAGGTCACATCAATCTACTTTAGAACATGATGTATTAAGAAAAAATAGAATAAAAAATATAAAAACTTAGTAAGGGTTATTATCTATGGTAAGATTGAAGTCAACTACTCTAAAGCGCTGTTATCGTCTTTATTTCGTTGTTGAAGTGCGTGTATTCGCTGTATTGTTTACAATGTGAATTATATTATATATGTTTAAGTTGCGCTATTGACAAAAAGTAATGATGTAAACTTTTTCTGTCTGTTAATGTTGCATTGATAAATAGAGAACATGTTATATTTTCTTGATGAATATCATGATTAAGACATGAGCACGGCAGACTATCAATATTTTTCACCAGTGCAAATATCGATATTGCTATTAGCTGCTAAGACTTGGTAACAAAAAAATGTGGTTAGTTAGAGAACTTAGTATATGTTGCAAAGGTGTACCAAACTAACGGTTAATGTCCTGTTACGTTATCTGCAGCTGCAACTGGAAATCTGCTGCTTCGATTGGAACTAATAGAAAGTGCCGTTATGATAGGTCAATACTAAAAGTGATGGCTTCACATTTGAAGAAATTTACTGCAATTCACATCAAATTTGTTATTTCTTATTTGCATTGGTAAAAATGTAATAAAAAGTAATATTGTGAAATATTTTCTGATTAAACGTATTGTAATTATACAAGGTAATATTCTTAGCATTGTCTGTATGTTTATGTTTTATTAGAATAAAGCTATATTGAAAACTAAATCCCTAATATTTGTTATAGTGTATTCAAATAAAGTGGTATGGTAGGGAATGTATTGTCTGTATGTTTTTGCTATTTTAGCTATTTAAATGTAACTTTTACGTTAATTTGAAAAGGATATAATTCCATGCTCTTAACAAAATAATAGTTTCAAATTATCTTATTTAATAAACTATTATTCTGATGAATCTTTGTTTTTTCGAGAATTCCACGTAAGCTTAATGAAGAAAATTATTTACTACATGTAAAATACGTCTGAAGATTTGATTGAAAATAAATAGTCGTCGATATTTAAAAATAAATTAGGCGTGCTTTTTAATATACTACAGAATAAAACCGATATTTTTCAGCTTTCAGTTCTTTATTTGAATCGCTACTTGGTTTGTATTAAACCACGGTCGCGAACCATCATTCGCCATTTACAATATATTTTGTATTCAACTTAACCTTGGGCTTTCAAAACGTTCTACTGATTTTCGAAAGATTGATAGCATGATTTATAACGACACACGCAGTAAACCTTCTATTTTCAATCAAAAACGGTAACGCAGATGTAATTATTGGGACAATGACATACTATGACAAATTATACAGTTCAAAAACAAATTTCGTTTTTAAATGCAACGTATTTTTATAGAAATGTCGGAGAAAATGTTTTCTTTAACTTAATCATTGAAACAAGTCGGATCTTTAACACTAATGTTGCTCAGGTGTATGCATGATAAAATTAAATGAACGACGGAGAAAAGGGAGAAACGTACCTGCTATATAGGACACAGTTGCGGCCAGTAATCCGACAGATTTCTCCTCGAAAAGTCCACACATGTAGAACAACATGAGGAGCAGAACTATACAGAAGCCAGCCATGACAAGGAGTGTGAAGACGGCAGCACAGATAATCTGGCCCTTCTCTGAAACAACAACGACACTGGCAGTTAAAATACAAAATGTTACAACTGAATACAGCACAAACAGGTCAAGTTGAAAAAAGAATTTCATAGCAGCACTTGTAAGCAAAGTATTTACTTAGTCAACGTACAAGGGTTTGTAAAAGTCACCATCCTTAATCTATGGTTCTAATCTACACCAGAGAAGTTACCTTTTTACTACAATAAATAGTACACGTTGTTTGCTATTTTTAATGGGGATTGTGAACTTTGCCTTTCATGATTACTTATTGTGGCTGTTTGACAGACGTAGCTTATAAAACATCTGAATATCATAATTGTCTTTTTCAGCAAAAAATATCTTTGTTTTCCAATCATGAATATCCCCTTTCTTGATAGTATACCACTCCCCAAACCGGTGTTAACATGTGGCATTGATTTGGCATTCATTTGCCAGCTCCGAATATCATGATTTTAGTGCGAGATTTCGAATGCTGACGGGCATACTTACACCACAGGGCTTTGAGAGGTTAATGAAATATATAAGTTTTGTTTTCGCCATTCTGATCGAATTTGAAATATTTTCATTTCCTTTTCCGATAAGATTATCATGTGATTTTAGGATATCTTTTAGTTTGGATTTTGTTTTTTTACCCGGTGCTAATTTTGACATAAGCTGTGTTCGACCAAAATTTGAACGCCATGCGTCATTAAATTATTTTTGAACAGAATATTTATCTAATTGTGTACCATTCTGCTACTGATCGGTTATAATGTATATTTGTACATAATATCTGATGACGTAAACATGACGTAATATCAGGTATAAATACATGAATGTGTTGTGTTGAAATAAATATGTTATAATTCAAACCCAAAAATGGTAAAACCTTATTAATGCATATAATAGAAAGGCGAATACCGTGTGATAGTAAACGTGCTATATATTTCTGTCGTAAAGTCATGAGCATATTTAAAGTGAAACGATAGGAGTTAAATTGGTACGATGTATTCATTGATAAATTGTTTATATAGTTAACTGAATGTAAGTATGGAAGTCGGTTTGATTAAATGTCGTCGACAAAAGCTTGTAGTACTTAGTGTCATTTAAAAGGCTGAAGCTTACCAAAGTAGGTATACACGTGAATGCATAGCTGTGACTTATTTACCGCCGGAATACAGCCCAGAGGACAAATATTAGCAGGACTAATGGACCCAGGAATGATGTTTGTGTGTCAAAGTATAGGCCCACAGTTGTCAATCATGAGATTTTAATCAGATATACTTGTCCATCGTGTTAAGTCTGAAAGCTATTCAAATCAAAGGAATATGTATTTCGTTGTTAACTCAATAGAAATATAAAGACGTTTTTTTAAAGGACTAGGTCCTAATTTGAAAGTTTCAAAATGACTCTATCTCATTTAATAGCTCGGTAACAGTTATGCCCTTGAAAAGAACACTTGTAGGACATACAATTTAACTTCTACTCATAGAAATTCAGAGGTCATCTTACATATCGCGGTTGTTCCGACCGATCAGAATCGGCTCTCGGGATTTCATTTCTGGCTGGGTATAAATATTGAACTCACAATGGTTCTTTTATATATCAGGGATAGAATTTGTTTTATGAAGTGTGTTTTGAAAAATATGTGAAATGCAATATTGAATCGTTGTTTCATTATTCGGGCGTAGACGGGTATAAGAGTTTTTCTTATGTGCTTGTAGATATATTTTATGGTAATAATATTTGCTGAGTATTCAATTTCTCGCTGTATTTGGTGACTGCGAATATAGCAAGATTAAATCCAATAAGTGTTAAGTGTGAACAAGTGTTCATGTTAACATTATTCGTTTTGTTGAAGTTTAGTTGCCAGACAGAAAAAAAGTTTTACACAATTTAGTTTAAAATTAATTTAAATATTTCATATATTTTTTGGATTTTGTTTTACAAATCTCATTTAAATGGCCTACAGTACTACGTGACTATGTGATAATTAAGTGTCGACATTTACATTTATTTCGAGGATCCCTGTCCCGTTACATTGTCGAGTTTCCAGGATTCGAATCCTGGTCTCGTTAATTTATTTTCCAGTTAAAATACTAGTATTAGTCATATATCATTTGTTTCATCTTTATTATTTATCTTAAAATCTTCACTAAATAAATATTTCTTTTTTCAAATCATGATTAATTAAAGCGTCCAACGCGCACTAACAGTTTTCGGCAGTGGTACGGGTACCCTTCATGGTGAAAGCAATGTGTATACTGCTATGAATGAAAGAAAGATTTAATGAGGTAATGAATGAACGAAGTAATAAAATAAGGCACGAAGTAATCAAATAAGGCAATCAGCCAAATTATGCAAATTAGACAGATTTAATATAAGTACCGGGTTTTCTTGCTTCTTGATCATTTACTTAAGCAATTGAAAAATAAAAGGAAGTTTAAATAAGTAAATGAAAATATATTTCTGTATCCTATGTGTTTTTTGTGTAGTAGCTGTGAACGATCGATTCAGTACATCAAGTAATTTAATTCTATGTGAATCCAAATATCACGAGTGGCATTGACGTAACGTAACGAAAGTATTAGTCATCTAAATGATTGACTCAAAAACTGTAGTCAGCATTATGTAAAGTGGGATGGTAAGATCCACATTCACAAGGGAATACAATAGAGTTATAATCAACACTTTTGTTTATTGTTTATACTCATGACAATTCAAACTTCATTTCAATTTTTTATGAATACTAGGAAGATTTATAATGGAAAATGCATGCTACCCTGTTGGTTTCTATTTCAGTGTTCAAGTTTAAGTTGGTTAACGACATATCTAATGTAATATTTAAAAGACATTTAAGCCTTTATAAAAATGGAGCACAATTCGAATGACAGTCTATATGAACAGAGGAAACAACAGAAACAAAAATGATGAGCAGCTCTTAAAAAAGGCTTCTTAAAAACTGATTGAATGAATGAACTCATCTATCTAGAAACACTAGGAACAGGCTCTGAAAAACGGCTCAACTGTGACATATAGACTCTATAAAACAAGGGTGGTTGGTATGTTATAACTACGGAAAGGAGAGTGAACTATCGTGAAATCATTGTCGTCACGTTTCGTCACATTGTCTTAAACCAGAAATACAAATATTTTTTCACTAAATAAACATAAAAATGATGGTGATCGATTCGGCCATAACGAGTTGCTTCAATTAGTGTTATAACGAAAATAAACAATCATAAACATTAACATTGTCATAACTGAATTTAGTTGACAGGAAGATGATATTACAGCTGTTGGGTATCACTGACAAGCCAATGTGGCTGTTCTATGAATTGAACAAACAAATAGGATAAAAAGCTTACTAATAGCAAAATGGAATTGGTATTTTCGAGATATACTGTTTTCAAAACTGGCAAATATACGTTTTGAACTTACTTTTTTTACATGCATGTATGTAGCATATTTAAGCATCGAACTACTCTCATTTGGCATTCATAGAAAATATAAATGAATGCCAACTGGGCAAGGCCAAGTCCAAAATAAAGCACTAGCTTTCTTCATTGGGTTTGTCTTTGTCCAGTTGGCATTCATATTGACTATGAAAAGCAGTTAAATGCTTAAATATGGTACATGCACATATAATATAGTTGGTTATCTTTTGTTATAATCTTATTGACTACATATATATATATTCTAATTTGGTCCTACAATGAATCAGAAAATTATACATATAAAAATGTTTGCCTCATAATTAAAAACGGCATGATGGACTGTTTATATCATCTATCATACAGGTGTAGACATAATGGTCCTAGTATTAAATTTCTTTTTATCTTCAATATAAATGTTTTTTGTATATTCTGCCTTATTCTTCCGTCAATCTTTTTGATTCTTTAATTCTCAGTGAAAGATAACTCAACGTTCATTTACCTGATCAGAAAGCTTTAAGAAGGGTTGATAATGTCCTTGTGGGGGTATGGCGGGTATAATGTATAGTTAAGACGTGGGAACCGACAGGTCTCTATTGACATCTGATCTATCGTTATGTACCTTGCCTTACATACAAGTCCTTCAGTCTGTTGTGTGTGGGGAGCAGCCATGTCAGAACACCAAGGCCACGTTACATTATATCTCCCCAATGGTTCTATCAAAATTTACATGTCACATATATTGTTTTTTTTTTTAAATTCATAACTAAATTAGCTTATTTTACACATAAACTCTTATTGGTTATGAAACATAATCATTCTAAAATTCAAACGTACCAATCTTAAGAAAAAGCTCAGGATTAGCAATAAAAGCACACACAGATTTGTTAATTTATTTTAAGACTTTTTTAAAAGGACATCTTGTTTTAGATTTTTGAGTTAACGATGTCACATAATGAAATTTCTTTCCTCGTTCTATAAGATCTGGTTCTTCAAAGCTTAATTATAACAAAGGACTGCTGATCCTTCCTGTCTGACCTTGACCAATTTTGGAGAAATTAACTGATACGCTATAATTACCGGGAACAAATTGTAATCAACCAGTAATTAAACATATGGATTGAATATATGCTTTGAAATAGCATGGCCAAATAAAAGTGATTAACATGGAATGACGTTTATCTAATTACATGTATTTACTATACAATCAGATAATAATTTTGACATTATATATCAACATTTAGAATACATGTCCAGGATCATTTCATTTTAAAATCCTAATGTCTGGATAACATCTATATATTTGTGATAATTAAGGTTTTAAACATTTGAGTTTTTTTTTGTGTAAATATTTTTTCTTTTTTTTTCTTTAAAAAAAACTTTTTTTCAATTCTTATACATACTGAAATGATTTGATTTTCAATAATTTAAACATATAACTAGATAAAGGTTTGCTTTTTAATTTGTTAAGGTTATAAGTCTTAAAAACATTAAATCCTGGTTTTAACCGAAGTTTATCTTTTATCAATTACTTTCATAGACTTGTAATGTAAACCACTTTTAAGGTCTCTATTTTTTAAATATTACATACAATTTCATCGATAATTCATATAATTTAAAGTCACTAAGCATTTCGTTTGTGATCAAATAGAATTAATTTTAATGTCAAAATGAAAATATTTATAAATTCTGTGAAGCTTGTCTTATATTACAATCTAATGTTATGAAAATATCTTCAAACCACACTACAATTGGTCACAAGTACTAGTCTGCTACAGAGAACAGAGTATAACAATATGCCCTACAAGCGCACGACGGGAAAGGTGACTAAAACGTTGTTCTACACATAAGACAACCGGACATGAAGCATACAATCATGAGATTTGTACGAGACACAGATTAAGAAATTCTAAAGTCATGGTTTGTGCACTAAACAAAAGGGACACGAGTCTTAAAAAAAGTATATGTATATCGAAAACAAAAGTGGGGGAGTCTGAAACCTTGTTCTTCATAACAAACAACGGGAAAGGAAGTATGAACCATGTCACTTGTACGAAGTTCCCGGTAAGAGAGTCTAAAGTCATGGCCATTTTACTTAAAACAAAGTATATGTATTAGGCAACGGTGAAGGAGTCTAAAAGCTTGTTCTACGTAAAAGACAAAAGGGAAGGAAATAGAAATCATGTTCTGTGTACGAGAATCCCGTTAAGGGAGTTTAAAGTCATAACCTTTATAATAGACAACAGGGAAATGAGTGTTTAACAAGGCATATATACATAGTAGACAACAGAGAAGGGAACCTTGTCCTGTAAACCGGACGACGAGGAACAAAATATACCATATCAATTGATTTATCGATATACATTATACATCCATGCGTCATCAAGGTATGGAATATTGATCTAATCAGCTACAGGTATTACACCAAAATTACATGTGTAAAGATAAGATATACAAATATATCAATCACCGAAGACCTTTACGACAAAGGTCGTGGTCAGGGCCAAATTTAGTTAATTGCTAATTAATTAATACTGAGTGTAAATAGGTCAGAATCTACAATAACATGTTTTGGTTTACCCTGTCCTATTGTTTATATCGAGGCCTGTGTATACTGTATTGAACAGCACTTCCCGATATATTTCAGTATTTGTAGAATTTAGCACGAGATTTACAGCGTGATAGCTACCTGTAATTTATCAACAGGACTAGAAAAGGTGTAATCACAATGAAGTACCTATTTCTTACATACTTACATAACCACTTAAGTATTTATTTCATTAAGTGCAAGATATCAATTTTATATATTTATTATACTGTGAAGCGACGTAACGAAAAGTGGTTGTTTAAGCTATTTTTTGCAAGAAGGTTTTTAAATATCTGCACATATGGTCACATTTTCGAGAGAAAAAAATCGTAGATAATTGCAGAAAACGTTAAAATTGTGCTGTGATGTCAATTAAAAATGGCGTGCAGCCTTGTTTTCAGGCGAATTAAAAAATGCTCTGCTAGTTCCATCATTTTTAATGCAGTTAAAATGTTCGTGTAAGTTGTTGAAATGTGTAATAAATAAAAGATAACGGTTTCCCTGTTCTGTTGCAGTGACAGAAAACACGTATATCGTGAATATTTCAAAGTAAGACAAGTCATTCAAAGTAAATTGATAACAATAATATTAAATTTTATTATCTATGAAATGTTCCGAAATTTTCCTTTTACCTCGACAGGACCTCAGTAAAAAAAATGAGACTTTCCCATAAAATTAGTACTGGCCATATATTTAGTCTATCAAATATATAAATAGTTGTAAGAGTATTTATTTAGTTCCTCAGATTTATTCAGTTCCCTACCGTGAAGTTTTATAGATTTAATACATAAATGTTTACAGGAATATTACAAAATATCATTTCATTTTCATCTTAATAACATAATGTCTATACTCTGATTTGCAAACGAATACGAAAATGACAATATCGGATTACGTCCTTTCTAGGTAGGACGTGATTATCTACAATATACTCTGCCATGCTAATACTCAAACAAACACTTACGTCATTGTCAGAACAAACGTATAGTATTTAGGGGTTTCTCCGAATATTTAGTAAAAGAAAAATAGCATTGTTTACTGTATGATCTCGAATATAAGGTTACACATTTTTGTTCTGCATAAGTCTATTGAAATAATAGAGATTCCAGGAAAAGGACCGGAAAGCTATTATTTCTCACAAAGAATATTAAATAAACATGGTACATGTACGTGGATGGCGTCATACTGGTCAACAACTCACCTGCATAACCTGCATAGAACACGTGCGTGTCATAACAGAGGCCATTGCTTTTACAGGATGTGAAGAGACCAGAATGTGCCGAGCCGTCGTCCGAAGCTGCCCAGTGGTCAGTAGAGAGCCCAATTATAAAGAATATTGTTCCTACAATTTCAATGACGCAAGCTATCCAATCCAGTTCGATACGGCAAGGCATGATGTTCCAGCTTCAGATAGTCACGGAAGAAATTCGAACTCACATCCACTAACCAGCTGGCCACACCTATAATAGTCGTCCTTGACCAAAAGTTATGTAGTTTAATTACTCCGATCCTCGAAATTAATCACGATATCATTATCAGGATTTGATAAATGATTTTAAATAAAAATCTATAAGGGATCGATGAGCCTGTCTCTGGAGGTCAAGGGATCAAACAGGGAGGGTGTACTTCTCCATTTCATCACATTTTTATAAAATTTGCACATTGGTTTGTCTAATATAACTAAGTTGGTTCCTTTAAAAACTCCATGACCAGCACATTCACCTGTACCTCAAAAAAATATATCCCCTTCGAAATTATTAAATGTGTCCCGACTTTCGTCTGAAGTGATTCATCAATATTTGCCTTGCGTCACTCTGCCGAATTGTTGTACAAGGAGAGAGTGAACTGCGCACGTCTCAGCACCCTGGACTAGTTTGGCAACCAACCCTCCGTGTGTTCAGAATCTATATGGTCCAATGTGCCAGGCCAAACTTCACCACTCTTCAAGTTCAAATCTATTATCACCGATTTGAGTTGTATCATTATAATACCTGTTTATAATCTTCAAGTTTTAAAATTTTAGTCCGATCTCAATAGCTTGTATTGATACGTAGATTAGTCCCAATCAGTCGAGCACGTTGTGTTTAACCCGAGTCGCTGACAGCTCTCGTCTCAGGATTTGTATATGCATTTATACATTATATCGTGCCAAGTTTCTTTCCTGATCTGAGTGGGGCCCAATTGGGGCGTTACTGGGTCAAAGTATACGGGGTATATCAACGATATGTCGTAGAGGGTATTTAACCCATTTGATTAAAATATATAAATGTATATTCAATAGAAACACAAGCTTATGGCTTTAAATCTATCCGGAGATCTGTCTGATAAGGTCGTTCTGCAACAAAACCGGAATTTAAATGGACAAACACCGACGTCGTTTGTGTTAAACCTGCCGTTATGTTAGACCATCTGCGGGTGTGGGAGTGGGGGAATAAAATACAAACCACTGCAATTTATTGTATATCTGATGCGTCGGAGATAATATATATCATTTATACATCATTATAAATAAATGTGACGACGATAGCAATGTCTGTCTGAAGGGATATCTATTTAGGTGTCAAGTCTGAAATCTTGGGTCTTGTTAAACTCACAGTTATCGTGTATATTCAATAAAATTTGAAATAATCAACACATGATGATAAATACATAATATAATATGCGGGAACGAAATATATACCATTCAATTAACACAATGGAATAAAAATAACACAGCAGATAAAAAAACGATGACTTCACAATAAAAGATAAAAAACACACACACAATGAGATAGATATGTAATGAAATATCAAACAATGCGATTTATACAATTAAAAAACCCACATAAAATAAATACGATACAAAATAATGCAACAAATTCACTGAAGAATAGATATACGATATCATTTATAAATCTAATAGCGTTTGTGTATATACTATGCAATACAAAACAAATATCTTATTTCGCATTTAGGCGGCATGAGACTTCACTGAGACCGCATTTGTATACCTATATTGTATAAGGATGCATGCTTGTTGACATTTGATCTGGGATGCTTGCTCCATTATCAATACCTTTAGTGTGATCAATCCGCGGAATCTTTTGCACCTTTTAAAGTTGATACAATGAATTTGCCAAGTCCAAATTTCATATATCATTAATAACGTATATTTGATAGTTTCGTAGCGTGGTACTCGTTTCGAAAGGATATGCATGTCACACATGGATTCTCAACTTTGATTAAAGTAGTGAATAAAGTGTTGAGCGAGTCTAGACTGACTTTTTTTATAATTGGTGTGTTGCATCTTTATGATATTCCGTCTTTGCGTATTGCAGAGTTATCTTCTCTTGTGAGCAGGTATTGATTGTTACGTCATTGGTTTGTGTGAGAAAATTACGTCGTTTGCTTTAAAATTGATGACGTTACTCTCACTAACCAATGACGTAATACTCAATACCTGCTCACAAGAGCAGATAACTCTGCAATACGAAAAGACGGAATACGTTTGTATTTGATATTAGATTAAATACTTTAACTGCAATTTTTCATTTGCACATTGAAGCCTGTGAAATCGTTTTAAACCACAGATGTACGAGTTCGGAGTCGACAAGTCCTTTGAAAGACAAAACACCACATTGACAGTTCGGAGTCGACGGCTTCTATTTGGACCCATACATCGCTAGTTACCCTAACTAGTCTGCTACATTAATATAACACTATAATGACTTTGCCGTCTTCTCTGTAAATATTACAATTTATTTCGAAACACTTCCACCACATCATGGCATACATTTATCGTTGATATTTTGTTTTACCTTACATCGAATATATCCATGTACAATTTTATCAGAATGTCATAAGTACAATATTATCATCAAGTTATTGTTTTTGTGGAAATATTCGTGAGCCGACAGTGACGTATATATCAAAATGGCAGGTTGGTTAATTTATATAATGAAAATGTTTAGTTGACTGGTAGAGAGTTGATCTTTCGTAGATATTTTTGCAATTTCAGTAGTTATAAAATATTTGTTTTAACTATAAATTACGCACAATCTTCTTCTTCCTCAAATACTTTTAAAGTTGACGAGTACATAGCGTTGTTTATGATGTGTGTTTCCTGTAGATCATCCAAAAAGATTATCTGACATTAGTTGTCTGAAACAAAAACATCCTTTTTCGACTTTCCTCACTGCGCGGCGCCTTCTTGTTTCGGTATAACATCTGTGATCTTAAGGCTAAATGGTATATAGTCCGGTAGCCACTACAGAAGAGAATGAAGCGAGGCACAAGGACCACAACGACATTATTAAGAGTGGTAACAATTTAACGGCCTGATTTTCAAAGTTTCGCGAAATACAACGTATATATAATTATAATTGGAAGGTTCAGACCACTGATATGATGATAGTGTTTAACAAAAACGCTTTTATCTGTAAAAATAACATATGTATGAAAATTTAGTAAAAGTATTTTCCATTCGAATGATAAAACGCGCCTACGGACGTATAATTCAATGAGTCTCTGGTAGCTACATGTATAAGACTAACTTCTACATGAGTTGATGTGATATGAATACCAATTAACATTCACATTCATTATGACGTCATCATTGCACTACACAGCAGTACGGAAATACAAACCAAACTGACAAAATATCACATTACACACATGCTACAATTGACACAAACAATTGCATGCACAGATTCACAGCTTAACACGGGATTTCGACGATAAAACATTCAACATGTAATTAGTAAGAGCACTTAGTGACTTTACGATAAAAAAACATTTTTATAAAATATACATACTGATGTTGAATATTGAGCATAAGTAAAATAGATGAATTAGTTAATATCAATTCTTTGTATAACTGTCTACAATAGGCCAATATAAATATGTTTATCCAAAAGGAAGGGGATCAATCGCTCCAAAGTTATTGTCGGGCTTTTTGGTATGCTTGATAAAATGTTTGGGCGGACAAGATTCGTTATAATACAAATTATATAAGATAAATTTTCTATAAATTCTGAAAAATGCATTCCAAAATACTTCTCAATGCATCGGCAAGTCAACAACACCGGTTTCTAGTTTATGACGTTAGGTTTACTGTATATTTGTATTGTCCTGATTTGACGTAAAATTCGAGTCTGGTACATAACAAATAATTTACCACAATAACGCGTTTTGATTAAAACATATTTTGTTTTGCATCTAATATACAAAAGGGATTGGGCACAAGCTGTCCAACTTATGTAAAGCCTTTTCCAAGAGAGGGGTTCAGTTTCACGTTATAATTTAATTCTTTGTTCTACATAATTGTTCGAGCAAAAAAGAAATGATAGGTATTTTCAACGGGATGACCACATTGACAGTGTCGGAAATTGATTAAATTTGCATGGAATAGATCATTAGTTAAGGTACTAGCTCTGTTTCTTAATCTGGTATGTAACATTTTTAGTTTTATATTGCCAATCATATAATAATTTGGAATTTGTAAATTTTGAAGATTTTGGAGAGAATTCTTAGACGTTGTGTTCGTTCGAACGAATGTTCGTAAAACTACGGCCCGTGTTTTGTCAACCATTACACAATACACAATACAACAAGAACACGTTAATTTCACGTAGTCTACCGTTATACAAACATAAAATCTATACGGGGGTAGCCCTCTCGAGGATCCCCCAAAGGTGGCCCTGTCTCAGTTTGAAGATTTAAAGTGAACGACGAACCTCTATTGACAGTGTATAGATTTCTTTTATCAAATAAAACCCTGGCCTATATATGTGTATGTAAGCAACAAGCACATTTCTGACCTGTAACGTCACCGCCGTATCAAGGCCGTGTATAACACCTTCTTATCGGTGAGGTGTATTGGGCCGAAGTTCGGGGTAGGCAGGGTCTAGCTATATAGGTGTGAAAGCAGGTAGATTTTTTCGTATATGTAAGTGAAGAGACAGGTATAATACAGGTGCGCGAAACAGGTGACCGGGGTCTCGTGTACGTGTATGACTCAAATGCCCTTGAATGTAGGGGTTCACATGAGAATTATTTGGATAGATTGGACCCCACCACTGGGGAATCTAGCACTTAATATACGATTAGTGGCATTGCTCAAGCCTGCTTTTGTGTGTGTGTTTTTTTTAATAACGTGATTGTGAATGCCTGGAGTGTAGACTATTTTGTCTAATTTGCTTATCATTTCTATTAAATTTCGTATGCATATGTAAGGATCGAGTCATTAGCTGTATGTAGATTAAATAATAAAAGGTTTTATATGAGAGATAATTTATGTGTAGATTATTAATGTATAGGGGCTAATTAAAGATTGTCTATAAGAAATCGTCTACTTATTTTAGAAATGTGTCAGAGTGTAAAAAAAGTGAAACATTCATATGTAAAAAGTATTACTCAAGACACTGTTAGATATTCTGTTTAGTACATTTATTTTACGAAAAACCTACACTGGAACGCAAAACGAAACATCAAGCTCACCATACACGATCTAGTTACTTTTATCACTAGCAGGTCTAGACAATCTTACCCGACAAAATATGGTCCTCTCTGCAGACATAATTGAATTTCTTTCGTAACTTAATTTTATTACGTAGGCACTTAAGTTCATATTTTTAATAAAGTATGCAAAATGTCTATCGTAATTTAATCATTTAGAAAAGGTCCCGTCCTATCAACTCAGATCACTACGCGTTGTTGATAAGCGCCGAATCTACAATGGTGGTGAGAGGCGAAAATGCAGCGTTGTTTTATCATTAGTTATCCTGATGATAAAATATCAACACCACCTATGTAAGCTATTCTTATGACCCTGATTCTCTTATACTTTCTGACTACTTTGGACTTGGAGACGCTGAAACCGTGTTTCATCTAAGTCTGTGGAATTGCTGACCTGCATAGTCTGCTGGCTTTCATGAAAATGAATGTTAACTGTGGAATTAAACGTTTGTTTCCCCAGAGTATTATTCCTCCATGATAGGTAACAGATGATTATTCTGGGTAGTAGAACGGACAAATGTCTTAGACGGATTTTCTTGAGGCTTGCCTTTCCTTAAGTTAACCAGGATTTTACCAGATGAACCACTTGTATTGTTTTCCCAAGGTGGTTTG